TTTTTAAAAAAGAAAAACCCTCAAAAGAGAAAACAGTAAAATCAGGGGGGGGGGAATTACAATCCTACTACGAAACATACTGAAGTTAAAATACTAAAACGGATTGAAATGGCCTCAGCTTTCTAAGCATCTGGGTCAGCTTGTCTAAACAGGAATGTTTTCAGCAGGGACCAAAAAGAGTAAAATATGAAGACACCTGCTTGATCTCAACAGGCAGGGAGTTCCAAGGTTTAGGATCTGCCACGCTAAAAGATTAAGTTCTTACATATGCGGAATGGGTAATGTGCGGCACAAATTTGTAGAGCCAGTTCCGCCAGTCAAAGCAACTGAGTGGGCACATGTAGGGAAGGCAATTTTGTAGGTAAACTGGTCCGAAGTTGTTATGGGCTTTACATACTAATAGCAACTCCTTGAACTCAACCTGCTGTCAGATCAGCAACCAGTTCAGATCTCTGAGCACAAGTGGCAGAGTGTCAGGCCTAATAGGCACAGCAGTTCATCCTCTGTAGGTCTTGGCCATGGATCAGTTGCTGAGACTGAAAGCCCCCACCAACCCACGACTGTCTAAATCCCCTCCTCTCCCAGGTTTTTCCCCCACCAAGCAATCAGAGGCTGTGCCTATGTGCAGTCAACCTCTCTTCCACCCTCTTCATGCCTCTTCTGGTTCTGGGAGACAAGCGGGGACAGGGGTGCTAACTTGAATAAAATATTGCCGGGGAGGCAGGTATGCCCTGCCCTGCATAATTGATCATATGATGCGATGCATGCACACCATTTGAAAGACAATGCCCATCAACTTGGGAGGGGGTGCCCCCTCAAATATTTTATTGCTAGGGCCAAAGCTTGTCACACCCCAGCTGTGGCTGATGGGAGCTGTAGTTCAAAATCTTCTGGAGGGCACCAGATTGGCAAAGGTTGATATAGATGCTGCATATGATAATAAGGATTAACGATGAGGCAGACTGAGAAAGCTCAAGCCAGCTATGCGAAAGAGGAGCAGCATGACTGCGCTGACTCATTTAAGCTGCTTGTGTGTGTGTGTATTTAAGAAGCTGCTAAGGCGCATGTTGTTATTAACAGTCTTATTTATTAGGACTTTTGGCTGGTATATGCCACTGGGAAAAAGCCCCATTTTGATTGCTCATCAAAGCAGGACTCATAATTTCAATGGATGTGAGAGCAAACAGAACGGAAGGAATTGTCTTTTTAAATGCTTGATGTTACAATATTGATATTATTATTAATAATAACAAATTGATATCTGTTGTGCTTTCAGGTCAGCTTCCTTGTCTGTTCTTTTTGCATCTAATCTCCCTCTGATGTCACTTACCCCCCCCCATGTGCATATATGTTTGACAATTCAGGGTTGCACTTCACACAACTGTAGACTGTAGCCTACAAACACTCATGCCACATCACATTCCCTCGTTGTTAATGTGCTGCAAGATTCTGATGTTTTTGCCAGCGGCGTAGCGTGGGTTGTCAGCACCCGGGGCAAGGCAAGTAATTTGTGCCCCCTAACCCCTAACCTGCCGCCGCTGCCAGCTTCTTCTTGCTGCTGCCTGGTCTGGTCTGGTGTGGTTCTCTCCCGCGCTCAGCACTGCGCTGGGCGGCCACTGCACTGTCCCTCCCCCAGATAGTCCCTCGCTCTCTCTCCGCACCGCACGCCTGGCACCCACTCCCTCCACAGTGGGCGGCGACCCAGCGGCTTGGATCGGATTCGCACAGCCAGCACTGCAGTGAGAGAGAGTGAGTGAGCCAGGTAGGGGCAGAGAGCTGCGAGTGCGAGCGCGCCACCCCCAGATGTTGCGCCCGGTGCGGCCGGCCCCCCCTGCACCCCCCACGCTACGCCACTGGTTTTTGCTACGACTCACTAGCTACTCTCCTGGAAGTTGCCCCCTGTAACATGTCCTGGCGTCAGAGCAGCCCAATACTTCATTTCGACACATGCCACTTTAAATTATGCTGCCCCCGTGCCAAAAGATGAATAAGTGTGCTAAGATTCTACGGCAAACATGCAGGCTTTTCTCAACAAATGAGTCAGTATAATGAAAGGATGGCTTGAAGATGGAAGGTTTTTTGCAACCACTGCTTTATAAAACTAGTAGTTTTAATAAACACAAGGGTGGTTATGATTATTTTTCTTTCACAGATACATTTCAGGGCAATGTGCAAAATTCCCCAGCATCACAGATGCATGCCACACCCTAAGGGGCAGGAAAGAAACTTCCCTACTTTGACTCCTCTACCTTCCGTGGTTTATCTGGATCCACGTTCTCCAAATGTTAATTCTTTGTTCAACGTCTGGGCTCACCGAAGACAGCAAGGAAAACTCAGGGGCTTTGGTGACGCACGCATTTTGCTGACCACCACCCCTCCTCACACACGCAATGATTGCAGGGGAAGTGGATGGAGCAGGGGCAACACAAGACATTTGCTGCTTGAGGTGAAGGTCAAGATGCCCCTGGCTCCCTTCCACATACAGAAGTCACCCAGGCTTTGTTGTTGTTTAGTTGTTTAGTTGTGTCCTACTCTTCGTGACCCCATGGACCAGAGCACGCCAGGCACTCCTGTCTTTCACTGCCTCCCGCAGTTTGGTCAGACTCATGCTGGTAGCTTTGAGAACACTGTCCAACCATCTCGCCCTCTGTCATCCCCTTCTCCTTGTGCCCGCCATCTTTCCCAACATCAGGGCCTTTTCCAGGGAGTCTTCTCTTCTCATGAGGTGGCCAAAGTATTGGAGCCTCAGCTTCAGGATCTGTCAAGCTAGCAGATTAGTATTTCTTCTTCAAGCCTGGCTATGGGACAGCATCATCAGCTGTCTATCTTAGGGGTGCAGGACAGGACAAGTGGCAGATACAGTGCCATTCTCCAACATTTTGCCACCACTCTGTGTTGGCTGCATTGCTCTGCCCAACAGTAGAGCCAAGTCTAGCTGTGAGCTAGGTTGCACATGCCTGCTTTTCCTATCAGCTCAACACAGCTGAATCTCACCCATTTGGGGCAAAATCCATGGCTCACACCTACAGAACAGCCTTGAATGCTGTTAGGCCTGTGCCAAACATTCGTTTGGGGACTAGATAAAAGCTCTTACATCAAACCAACGTTTTCAGCTACCCCACACAATGTTACAAATACCATAGATAGGTAAATCAGCTAAACAGCTTCATTATGTCCGGCTGTGGCTGGCTGAGAGCTGCCCAATTCTGTGGTTGCATTTCCTGTTCTGTATTGCAGATATCTTAAAATGTAAAGCTATCCTTTACTTTAATAGGACATTCCCTAAATAGGTGTAGATTTGTCATGGAGGAATTGCAATGTCCAGCCTTTGCTTCTGCAGGGGGTAGAATCTCTTTAATGGTGAGAGCAGTTTGACAGGGAAAGCAGTTACCAAGTGTTGGCAGGATCTCCACTGGAACTCTTGATGTTGGAGAATCAGATGCTTTAGCTTTCCTACATCAAACAGGGTGTTAGACTGAATCAGGTCCCCTCCAGTTGCCATGGACTTCAGCTCCCATCAGCACTAGCTAGCATGGCCAATGGTTAAGGATGGGAAGCTGTAGCTCAACATCTTAAGAGCATTGGTAAATTCAGGACTAATCTGTCTCTCCAATGCTGCAATTCTAGGTTGTCCAAGAAAATGTGGATCCCTGCCTCTAAAGCAAGTGTTTCTATCGCTGCTGGAAAATGGCCTTTGGGATGTAGTCATATGAGTGAAGTCATGGACTGGGTGGATGCAGAAGAGTGGTGGGAGGAACCAGTTGAGGAACCCCCAGGAGAACTCCCAGGGAAAGAAGGCTCAGAGCAAGGGGACTAGTGGTGGGACAACAATTGAGTGGTCAGAGGGAGAAAAGGGGGCAGACTAGGAAGAGATGTTGGAAGTAGAAGAGGTAACAGGTAGAAGAGCAGGAAAGAGGCTGTGGCAGAGAGCAGTTCAGACTGGAGGCTGGAAGAGACCAAGAGGCAACAATGAGGTAGGCAGCTAAAGAAGCCAGGGAGTCTCCCCTTCCAGCCGAGACTAGCTCCCCTCCCCATTGGTCTCCTAGAACACACAGAGAAATGAAAAGGGCACAGCAGATACTGATTGTGCATGGACAGAGTCTTCAACTGCTTGGGAAAGATCCTGGAGAAGACGAGCCTTAGGGAGTGGTGGGGACCTTCAGTCCTTGCAAATGCCTCATTGGCCCAAGACCTGTTTTGGTTTCTTGAAAGTTAACTTAACTGACACTGTGTTTTTTATTACTGATCTATTATGTTTGACTCCAGCTCCTGACAAGTGTCATAGAGAAAATAAAACCCTTTGCTATTCACCACAGAACTCCATATGCTGAAACGTTCACCCTTTCTAGGTTTCCAGCTCATATTGCTGCAAATGTAAGCTTTAACAGAAGAGGGGGGAGCTGTGGCCTTTCAAATGCTGTTAAGACTCCCAACTCCCATCAGCCTCAGCCACCATGATCTATTTTCAGAGAGGATGGGAACTGAAGGGCAAAAATATCTGAGGTGGGATTAGACATTGAACATCCCATCTGTGCAAGCATTGCAGCTTGCCCAATGGAACAATGCCCCCTGTTCTCCCACAGCATGTTCTGGGTGTTCTCTTGACCTCCCCACCCCAAACCCGTTCCAGGAGACACATGGGGAGGAGATGGAAGAAAGCCCCATTTCCACAGCCAGTGCTTATTAGGAGACTCCCCTCTCCTGTCTAGGTTCAAATACCACAGGGCTGGCTTTGCTGGGAGGTAGGGAGGGGCATCAAAAATCTTCCAGCTTTAGCTGAAAATAGGATTAATGACACAACTTCAGACTGTGGTGAGGGCAAGCATAACCTGGATTGTGAAGCGGTTGGCCATTATGTGCTAAAATCCCTCCACACAAATGAGCTCAATGTTTAAATCCCCACTCCCCAAAAATCAAGCTTTTAGGAGAGCGATGTGCTTCTTTACAGATCATAACACAGAAATTCAGATGTTTAACAAATCAGATACCAAGCAGCTGCATTTTAAATTAACATATATTTTACTGTCTCAATCACAGCAACCTCATACAGTAAGATACACATAAAAGTATAGTTTGCATGGTATCACTTGCAATTTAACACTGTTAAATACCACAGGTATTCCATGACAAATATGTACACAGGACTATTTTTTTTTCTTTTTAAAGCAATATAATTAGTCCCTGCTAGGTTCACTGTATAAATTACGTGGCATCACAGTTTTTGTTCATTTAGTGTCATGTGAGTAGCAGTATGGAACCTGAACAAGAGAGGAACTAGAAGCTGTACAGTATAGCAGCCAAGTAAAGACAGGCATGGTACTTGGAAGAGGCTGAGCAGAAACGGAACACATCAAAATGAACTCTACAGGCTGATACTTTAGAAAGAGTAAAATTATTTCAAATTTGGCATTATATACACATTTTATCTACAGGTATATGAATATATGCTTCTAAAAAAAAAAAATCCATCTAAGATTATGAAAACCTTCATCGTTCACTTAAGCAATGATTTTACACGGACCTTCCCAGTCAGCAAGCTAATACTTGCCTGCAAAGAAAATAAAATGCTGAATGCAGTAGTATGCCATCGCAATAATCTCATTTCTACTTTTCTCAACCATGTATTCTTTTCTTGGTAACGCTTTGCTGTTGGCAACATTCCAGAAAGATCATGTGAGACAGTGTATTTGATGCTCAGTCACAACAGAAGAATTTCACCAAATCTACAATATGTTTAATCTCTTTATGTTTCTGTCACCCCCACCACACACTGGCTATTCATGTAAGCTTCTGTCACAGAAAGGGTGAAAGGACTGCAAGTCTTAGAATCAACAACCACGCTCTTAAAAATTAACAGCTTTAAGGTCAAATGTAATCTGCCACAAAGTTCAAAACTCAATGCAATGGCATAGCAATTAAACATAAAGGGCAAATTATTAAAAAAGGAGTGTTTGATATCCTTTGTGGCTTAAGAAATTTCACTTGGCTGGGAATGGTGCAATCCCTGTTATTTTAACCATCATTATTTCTAGTGTGCTGTGGCTGTGTACTTTATGCAAACATACTCCCGTGAGCATGGATGGGAGAAACCATGTATGCATAGCCGAATCCTCTACGTCCTTGTTGTGGCTAAAAATCATTACAAGGGGAAAAGCTTCACTTCTGCATGAAACAGTTGGAGCCAAGTGACTTGCCCACCTATCTCTGACAAAGCTCCAGAGGCAGAATTTCAAACCAGGTGAGAGAAGCAAAGAGACTAATGGATTTGAGGGACACCTGTCTACCACAACAGCTGTAATAAGCTGTAGGTGAAATACAGTACAAGGAAAAAATAATGTTACCTGAAAAAATAACCCAGAGACTTCATTTACAGGACCTTATATATATATATTTTAAAAAAACCACAACATACTGAATATATTTATTTAAAAATAATCTGCTTCCAAATCACCTATTTACAGTAGAAACAACTGGATTTGATACATGTGCAACAGAAGGTGAATCTGATCATAATTCATTGGGGACACTCCAGGCGTAACGTAACACATACTGATTCACTTCTTAATACTAGAACAGTTAAAAAAACAACCACACACACAAGGTGTATTGGCAACAGCGAAAAATAAAGCAAATATTCAGTTTAGAATTTGATTTTATATGCTTGAGATGGTGAAGGAAAAGTAGAAGAGACACAAGGAATAGATGCCATGGTGATTTTGCCTTTTGGAGCTTAAGTAATGCGATTAATTTTCCTTTTTTAAAAATAAAAAATCACTTTTTTTGGCAAACACAAAGGAATATTCCGTGCAAGTTACCAAAACAGACAATTTCACAATTCACTGAAAATGCTGTTCTTAGTTTCTTGGTCATCTTTCTAGTTACTACTCTGGTGCTGTGTTGTGTGGATGAGGCAGTGTGACAGCCACAAAGCACAGACATGTGATGTCTTTAGAAAAAAATGAATTGCAATGCCTGCCTGCTTCTAAAAAAAAAGGAAAAAATTGCTCCTCTCTCCCATCTAGAACGGAAAAGCAGCTAAGAGTCACCTAAAACAGTAGCAGCAGTGTCAATTATTGAATAGACAACATTTGTAAAGTCACATCATTGAAGACTGGCACTATGTTAAGATGTGTATGTCCAATGTTAGGGCATGTCTACTTTTTTATTTCTCCTAAGAGGTCAGTAGGATACTTCTAGCAACATCAGAATGTTTTGTGTTTTTAGCCCTTTTGTCCCAAATTATAGGATTTCCAAAAAACAGAAGATAAAAATAAAGGTCTATCTATAAACCATGTGTGGTAGCTGGTTTGATTTATAGTTTAACTGATTGTTTGGCAAGAACCTATGAAGCTCACTTTTTCGACAGCAGGGATCATAATAGTAAGCAGTGAGGCAAGAATCGCAGGAAACTTTTGAACAAAAAGTGCATGTGTTTGTAGCTCCTGGTCTGTTGCAAAATCCACAGCGTGAAGAGCCTGAAGGCTTCGATTTTGAACTGTACTGAGACACTCGGTCTTGAGTCTGCAACATGTACTGAGGCTTCTCCCTTATCACCGACCCAGAAGATATGCCTTCACTTGCAAGAGTTTTGAGTGAATAGCTGCTCTGCTTCATTGGTGGATATTCCTGCCTGCAGATGAGCAAGTTGTCGCACTTTTGGCAAATGGAGGTGCCGCAAGATAATCCACAGTTTTGGCACTTAAGGGAAGTGGTATCTTTGGCTAGATGTGTACGTTTATGGTAAGTCGGGTTGGCATCGTTCTTTAGCAGCCATACATCATGTTTAGTGGGTTCTTGTCTCTTGAACATACTTCTAGAATCAGAGTCGGTATATAAATCTAAATCATCTTGAGGGGAATAGTAAGTACTGTATGGAATACCCGTTCTTAATATGCCGTTGGTATGGGATGAAACTGGCAAATATTCATCGGAACATCCATGCGGAGAACTTGACATGGCAAGGAGGGATGGCGAAGGACGAATTATTTCATCTTTAATGTCATCTTCAGTATCAACCAAAATGGGTTCTTTTCTGAGACTCAAGGATGTCATCAAAGGTGGCTTCTTATTTTCCAAGTAACTATCATAGGCATCCACTGATTTAGAAGCTTTGCTAACTTTGGGTTTGAAGTAATCTTTACAGCCTCTCTCACTTGCAGATTTCTGAAGTACCATTCGTGACATGGAAGTGTTTAGATTTTCTTTGCATTCTGCACGACGCTTCAAGGCATCTGAGCAGCCTCGGACATCACTGCTATTCTTTCTTTCATTTACAATATCAAGTTCTGTGTAACCTTTATCTTTCACTTGCAAATGAATTTCAATCAATTGTTCACACTCTAATTTGGCCAAGAAAAGTTCAAATGATACCATCTTTACCTGGAGGGTATCAACCATGTCTTTGAGTTTATACATAGTTCCAAGTTCTTGAATGTATCCCATTGAGTTAAGTATCTGTCTTATATCCTCATCTGGTATTGTAGACTTTACATAATAAACAAAAGGTCCTGTGTAAGTCTGAAGATGGGAAAGAGAGAAAAAAATGGTAAACATAGTATTCAACCAAGTGCTCAGATGTAATTCTGAAATAGTGTAGATATGTTATAACCAGTGCTTTTTTCGGGGGGGGGGACGCAGGGGGATGCATACCCCTAAACATTTTGTAAATCTTTGTACTTTTGTCCATTTACTGCATTTATTTTCCCCAATTTGAACGATAAAATTGTGATTTTCTTGAGTCAAAATGAGAGTACCCCTAAACATTTTTAAGGGGGAAAAGCACTGGTTATAACCACATGAGGGGATCATGCACTGTCAAATAACAGGGTTTGGTGCTAAAATTCGGAATAATTCTATACACAATCCACTTGAGCACACGAAGGCAAATTAATTTCAATTGGTTGCATCCAAAGCACGGCTACATTGTGGTACTGTCAGCATATGGATTCCTGCTTGTGCAACAGGTCTTTCCTCCCTCTGTGTATCCCCTAAATATGTTCTAGGGATTCCCAACCCTCCATAGAAGATTTGGAGCAGGCAGGGAAAGTTCTGTTGGGCAAGCAGAAATCCTTGTGTTGGCAGGACACAATAGATGAATACCACCCCGTGGCTATACATTCACCAGAGAATACCATACCAACTGCTCTCTGATTCAGCTTCTACAGTTAGGTATGATGCTACAGTAAAGATTAAACCAGGCAGAGGGTGAAACTGTGACCCAAAGGTATTCTTAAAGTCAATAGTTCTCCCATCTTCCATGATAGTATACTCTGTTTTAATCTACCACAAAGAACTGTATCAGGTGTAATGGGGTGGGACAACTGGATATTTTGGGTACCTTTTGGTACCTAAGAAATCATGGGGGTACTGAAATGATGGGATGAGTACAGAAAATGCATGTTTTGCTAAAATCAGTCAGTGAAATTGTAAAGATTTATAGTTAACCTGTACTAATGTTTTGGTGTTGATATATTTGCTAGAATCATGACCAGTAATGTATTGCTAGATAGAATCCTTAACTGCTCCGAACACTAAAAGATATTTTAAAAAGGAAGGGGAGATACAGAAAATAAATTGGCATCAGGATCTAAAACTCTGTTACTAGGACTAGAAAAGCAATTTATACATTAGCTTAGACTATGGGAAGCAACAAACAGATTTATATACACAAGCCCTGGAAATGGCTGTGTACGATTCTTCTTCTTGAACACCAGCATCAAGGCTACAGGAATCCAATGGGTCAGGTGTAGAGGATTTTTCTACCACGTGTATCAGAATGAGTAACCTGTGGTACAACATTTGAAGGTTCACAACTCCCATCATTCCTGTGGCAATGGTTGATGGGAGCTATAGTCCAACAACATCTGATGGATCAAGATTTTCCCAGCTGATGCTGTAAATACAGTAGCTGACCTTTAGGCTTCCTACCATACAGGGACACACCATCTATACTATTCAAAAGAGACCAATACCAAACTCTCATTATTTATTCTTTCTAACTTTACATTTCATGACTGAACTTTTCATTTTTTTCCTTACAGGCCACAGTATGGAGAGCACTAGGGAAGTGGGTGAGAAATGTACATTGAGGAATTGCACTGAAGTTATTCATTTAGAATAATGAGGTGATTCTAAAATACAATGCAATGAAAATATTCGCTGAACTCGAGGATAGGAATTGGCAAGGCTGAATGCAGAAATCAGGGTTATAGTAACAAAACTTAAAGCCAAATTCCAACCCAACTGAAGCTCACTGGGTAAGCTTTCTTGAATCGTGATTTCAGGTGAAAATCTACTTTGCATCCTAAATTACAATAAAGATTAACTGGTCTGAAAAAAGGACATGAGGTCTGGGCACAACTGCCCACCAGCCATTTATAAAAGCAACCAGACTTTTGCCTTGCATTTGTTTTTTAATCTTTGGAATAAATTTGAGTGCTACACACCACCTTACAGATAGAACAGATGCCCTTTTAAGAGTTCAAAGCACAAATATTTAGATTACAAAAGAATAACATATTTGCACACTCTTACCTTTATATTTCTGAATTCCTTCTTCCAAGGGTAAAGAAAAAGATTAACTCCAACTGATTCCAGAACGCCAAATGCATTTTGGAGTGAACGCAAACTTGAAGATTTCAAGGACCTAAGTGAATTTTCAACTATCTCATAAAATTTTATCAGCCGGAATCTGTAGAAGGGATCAATCTTGGGAAAACAGAGTAAGGTTGAAGCTGTCACTTGTAGACACTCATCACTAACAGAGTGCTGCTTCTTGTCAGAGGTATTCAATTTGGATTCATGAAACTGTACATACTTCCTAAATACATCGTCTTTATATTTTGCATCCATCTGAAGTTAGATTCTAGCACGCTCAAGGGCGGCTACCTCATCTCTTTCATGGCTACAGTGAGGCAAGCAGGGGAGGAGGAGGCGGGAATGTAAGATAGTGCTGCAGAGTCTTCTGAAAGAAAAGAAGACACAAATCACTTACCATTACTACTAAAATCTGTCATCTCTCACCCTATATAAAAGGATGTCACATAGAGGAGGGAGAAAGGTTGTTTTCTGCTGCTCCAGAGAAGCGGACACAGAGCAATGGATCCAAACTACAAGAAAGAAGATTCCACCTAAACATTAGGAAGAACTTCCTGACAGTAAGAGCTGTTTGACAGTGGCAACCATATGTCAGGAGTGCTCTGATGGTGTTTCCTGCTTGGCAGGGGGTTGGACTCGATGGCCCTTGTGGTCTCTTCCAACTCTATGACTCTATGATTCTATGATTCTACTTTACTATTGTAAGAGCCTGCTGAATCAAGGCCAATGTAGTCTAGCATTCTGTTCTCACAGTGGCCAACCAGACGCCTGTGGGAAACTTATAAAGATGTGAGTGCAACAGTGCTCTGTCCACCTTCAATTCCCAAAGCTGGTGTTAAGAGACATGCTGCCTCTCACTGTGGCAGTACAGCATAGCCATCATGGCTAGCAGCCGCCGATTGCCTTACCCTCTACAAACTTATCTAACCCTCTTTTAAAGCCATCCAAGTTCACAGCCACCACTGCCTCCTCTGGAAGCGAGTGAATTTCAGTTCAACTATGAACTGTGTGAAGAAGTATCCTTTTACCTTTCCTGAATCTTCCAATGTTTAATTTTCTAAGATGTTCACAAATTCTCGTGTTATGAGACAGAGAAACAAACTTCCACTTCCCACTTTCTCCACACCACGCATAATTGGTATTAACGTCTTTATCACGTCACTTTTACTTGTATTTTCCCAAAACTAACAAGTCCGAAATGATGCAAACTTTCCTCATAGGGGAGCGGCTTCATCCCTTTAATAATTTTGGTTGCCTGTTTCTGGATCTTTCCCAACATCTTTTTTGTAGTTGTGAATTAATAAGCCTTGGGAAACTATGAGGCAAGTGTCTCACAAGGAATTTATACAAAGAAATAAAAAGAAACCAGGAGGAGGGAAGGATTAAAGAAAAGAAAAAGAAAAAGGGGGAATCCAAAACAAAACTAACAATGACTGCTACTGTAGCATACTGGCCTAGTGACAGAACTGTGAATCAGAAACCCTCCAGTTCAAATTGTGCCTTCTACTATGAACTTACTTAGGTGGCCTTAGGCAAGAAACTCATGCTTGGTCTCATCGCTGGATGTGCAACATTGGGGCAACCCCCACTTACCTTAAATGGTTGTTATAAGGATTACTGGTATGGTATATGTAAAACTCTTTGAACATTTGGGAGGAATGTTATCTTGCCAGGTTTTTAGCAACCAAGAGTTAATGGTGTTTCATTGGGTTAGGGATCAGAACTGACAAGTAAGTCAATTCTATAAAGCCTAGAGAAAGTTTTGTTTGGTAGGTCCCCTTTAGCTAGAGAGCTTGATGCAATCTTACTGTAGTGTGACATTCTGCTATTCAAATTCATCACCCAAGTAATAAATGATGAAAAAGGATGTAACTCAGCGCTCTAAATGGGATAAGCCGAATACTACACTAGGCATTTTTCTTTAATGGCTAATAAAATGCAGGCCTGTGTAATTTGAACAGTCAACTCCTACAACAATTTTCCTGCTTATGTGAAATCATCCACAACTTCGAAACCAATCATATGGGAAAATTAACATTATTGCTCATAAGAAAAAGCAGTTCCACATAGTGCCTGATCAAATGCCAAATTATTCAGCTTTGTCTACCAGTGGTTCTGAAGGAGCTTTACCCTGTAATGTGAGGCACACTCCTCTATAGAAAAAAATCACACTGAGTTCACTTGGACGTTGTTCTAGGTAGAATTGCAGCCTGCAACACTAGACCAAGAGGTGTTGGAATCAACTACATTCTTTTGGAAAAATGTATAATATTTGCATCTCTTTTCCATCCTAATTAAGACTTACCATCTGTATATGTTCAGTTCCTGCAAAGTAGCTTACTAGCACCTTCAGATGTAAATGCCAGAGGCCTGACTCTGCAGAGATTAAACTAAAGACAGTTTGCAGGAGGCCTATTCACTGTGTAAAGTTAAATGGGTATTAAATGTTTTATTTCTGGAAGCTTACAGACAAGACAGATTTTTGAAAATGTATTTACAGATCCCAATATTTAGCCCAACATCACACCAGACAAACTTCCAAGTTTTCAGCTACCAGAAGCCATTCTTACTGAACCAGGCACCTGCACTTTCTCCAGTCTCAGGCTTATCTCTTCTTATCACTATAGACTACTACAATGCAGAACACTATAAACAGGGCGTTAGCTTCTGACTCCTTTGGCAAACACTTAAGCATGCAGAATCTGTACAAAAAGTACAGGTGGAAAGCCTTGGAAATTCCCACATTACTAGTACAGTGGTACCTCGGGTTACAGACACTTCAGGTTACAGACACTTCAGGTTACAGACTCCGCTAACCGAGGTAATAGTACCTCGGGTTAAGAACTTTGCTTCAGGATGAGAACAGAAATCGCATGATGGCGGCGCAGTGGCAGCAGGAGGCCCCTTGGGCTAAAATGGTACCTCAGGTTACGAACAGTTTCAGGTTAACAACGGAACTCCGGAACAAATTACGTTCTTAACCAGAGGTACCACTGTATAGTTTAGAGCCCCTCACTTTCTAAGATTATTGTACACCCTTTTCTAAATTAAGTCTTCATTTAGATTGTGGACCATGAGCTGAATATATATGGATGTCCTGCAACAGAAAACTGTCCCAAATAATATAAAAAAAGAAAGAGGAATTAAAAAACACCAAGAAAGTGATCTTTGGAAACTTTTCACATCACAAGACCTGTGCCCCTGCGTATTACTTAATTCTTCCAGCAGAAAGTCAGTGCCTAACAATGAAGTGACCAATCAACACCTTCAAGCTATTTTGAAAAGAACTGAAAGGTGATCCTCACTCCTAAGGAAAGGTCCCCATCCCCAGGGGGGGTAAAAACCAACCCTGCAAAGGTCACAGTCCTTACAATGGATGTGCGCCCCAGCTACAAATAGGCCCCTAGTCCCTTGCGCAACCTGACCTGAGAGACAGGCATGGAATGCAATCCCAGAAAGAAAGCACCACTATGCTCCTTACTTTTCGGCCACGGTTCTCCATCAGCCCGAGCCTAAGCTGCTTCCAAGGTGCAAGGCCAAAAACAGCACTCAGAACAGAGGCACGTTGTGTGTGGCAGGGGAGGGGGGTAGATTTAAACGAACAAAACCAGCCTCTACCCCCATTATATAAAGAGAGGGGGGCTGGTTTTTGTGTGTGTGTGTGTGTGTACATATATATTTGTGTGTGTGTGTGTGTGCACACACACACACACACACACACACACACACACACACACACATATATATATATATATATATACACACACACATCCTTCAACCTATATATATATATATATATATACACACACACACACACACACACACACATCCTTCAACCTATATATATATACACACACACACACATCCTTCAATCTCTCTCTCTCTCTCTACACACACACACACACACACACACACACACACACACACATCCTTAAACCTAGGTCCTTAAACCTAGGAGGAAGGCCAGCGTAAAAAATGCAACTGCAGGGGGTGACCATCTGCCTAGTCCTTCCTCAACTGGGCGGGTGTGTGTGTGAGAGAGAGAAGGGTGGGCGAACAAACGAAGACCTCGGAAATCCTCACAGGCTCCCTTCGCCAAGTACTAGAAGGGACCCGGGGACCCCGGGAAGTGAACCCGCCCGATGGGGGGAGAAGTACGGGCGAAGTAGGAAGATAACCCCCCCTCACCCGCCGCCGCCTTCCCCTTCGCCCCCACAGCCGGGGGTCGCCTGAGGGCCCCCCCTCCTCTCCCCAAGAGGCTTCCCAGTCCTCCTTCGGCCCCCAACCCCCCCCCCCGCCCGCTGTCGCGAAGCGGTACCCACCGACTCTTCTGCCCTCCCTTCGAAATCTCGCGAGGCGCAGCGCGAGAACCCGGCGGTGCTGGCGGCGGCAGCAACTGCCCCTTCTCCTCCTCTTCGCCTCCCACCCTGGACCACAGACCTGCAACCGCCGCCGCCACTTTCGCCAGCCAGGAAGTCGCTCGTGACCCGGACGCGCAACATCCTGTCACTCTCTCTTCCTTGCCCCGCCTCCCAACCGGAAACCGGAAGTGAGCGCGACTCCTGTCTCAAAACCTCCTCTCGCTCTCTCCGTGTGTGCGTCCTTCACACTCGCCCCCCAGAGGGTCCGCATGGGCCTTAAAAAAATTAAAAAAAAATTCTGCCCCGCGTTCTTTTTCTCTCCCCCCCCACCCCAAATAAAACCGCAAAAGAGGCTTGGGCTGCGGCGGAGCATTTGAGGAAACTCGGGCCATGTGGGGCGCTGCGGAACTCCCTGCCACTTGAGAACGACGCGGAGGGCGGCGCCTTCCGCGGTGCTCCGCTTAAAAGCGTTATTTGGTTTAAAAAGCGCTTAGGAAGCGGAGGTAATTTTAATCCGTTTTAGTTCTTTGTTATGTTTGCGAAGTGAAGGTTGCGGAGTTTTCTCCTCGATTCTAGGTGGTTTTGTTATCTTTTCGTCACCCGCTTTGAGGATTCTTTTGGTTTGGGGTGTGTGTGTGTTTTAATGATCAAGAAGTGAAGTAAATAAGCGATAAAGTGGGCTGTCCTTTTGTGTGCGTGCGACGCCTCAGCGTTAACATGCTGTACACGGAATGCCTCGGGGAAGAGCCACAAATTGGGCAGAAATCACATTTTAAAAAAGAAAGTAAGTTGCAACCTAAGTTTGAAATGAGCATAATCTTCGATTTTTCCCTTTTTCCTTTCGTTTGGAGGCTGGAAGGCAACTATGCCCGCCACCTAATCGCAGCCATGCAAAAACATACCGATTCCTTCGTTTATTTCTAATTCTAGCTTCCACAGCGGGGTTGGAGGCGTTAGGCTCTTTTGGGATCTTTCCTCCCCAATCTATGAGTTGTTCTAACATTTTTTTCTAGTATCCATGCACCTGGAGAGGCGAGTCTTCGACGGCGCATGCGTCGAATTCTGTGTCTTTAGCTTTTTATTTTTTATTTAAATAATAAATATTTTAACCCTCATTAGTAGCAGCATGGTACTTACTCACCTTCCTCGCTCCGCCTTTCGCTCTTGCCCGTTTCTTACTCCGGGAACACGTCCGTCAGGTGGTGATTCTGGCAGCTGCAAAGATAAGGAAGAAGGGGAGGGGTGGGAAGGGGAAAGAAGGGCTTTTCTTAAGTCGATGGAAACGTCGGGATCAGCGGGAGATTGACGTTCCCTGCACGTGTGTGACGTCATAAACAATGTAAAGCCACGGGATCCCCTCCAAAGCCCAGCAGCTATGCTGTTGCATTGCATCAATGCACTTACGAGCAAAATAACTTACATGGATTTCTGCTAGGCAGTAGGACCTGTAACAAATTGTTGCAGCCTGCAGTAGGGTAGGCAGCTAGGGCACCCCATTTCCTTCTTACGTACACAGCCCCCTCCCTACACACTAATCTAATGCAGTACCACAATATGTTAGGTAATTGTTGGGTTCCTCTTGGGGGGAATGGAGGGCTCCTTCCCCCTCCCCCCAAAAAAGTTATTTGTGCAATTGCAAAAGTTTTTTGTACCTCCTCCTACCTCTGTCATGTGTGGGTGATGTCATTTTCAATCCTGCCTTGAATCTGCTGGCTTTCAGAAATCAAAGGCCAGACATTTTAGTAGAATATGGATGGGGTGGTATGAGGCAGGGTGTGTTAATCCAGAGAGGAATTCCAGCAAAAGATTTTCAGGTCAGAATCTGGAAGTTTCACTACCAGTTCATTGCAGTTAATCTGTAGTGGCTCAGAGCCATCAGTCCACTCCAGGGAACTAGTAGGATACATTTGTTTCACAATAATTAAAAATCACATCAATGAAATTCAGCTATGTCATTAATTTTTAACTCCATCCAACATCTTGTATTGAAAGAAGACAGAGAAGAATAGTCCTATTCTTAAAAAGATCACTATTTTTTCCTCAGTAGCTTTGGACTTCAATGAAGAAGAAAACAGCATGCATTAAATTTTCCTTCTGTACAAAAAGCCTCCAAACCATACATGACCAATAACATAATAAGTAAAATGTGCTCACATCCTCCAGCCCTGAAGCTAATGTCAGCAAACCCACTCTATTCCTGCCTGCTGGCTGTATGATTACTTACTTTCTAGCAGCTTTCTCTGTTTTAAAACGTTTCCCTTGAGGGAAAAAGAAGATTTTAAACAAATGCCGTAATAAGTGCCTGCTTCAACAGTCAGGCTGAGCAAACCTCTCTTCCTTCCTATGTTGCCTGAAGATAGATTTAAAGCCCAAATCAGTGCATACATTCCGCTACATGAACCATAATGTTTTCCTTTTGGCTCTCTAATACATAGCCTTAGTTCCGCAGCATCCCTTAGTATGTGCTAATTATGTTCCACACTATGAATTATATTCAAAGTAGGCTTTTCCCACCCACACCCTTTTGCAAAACCTGAACAAGGCTAATAAATATTTCTAGTTTTCCCCTTGGATGCAGCATTAGTGTAGTGTTTTGGGAGAGAGAGTAGGCTATATGAGATATCCTACCTCCTGGTGCCTGCAAGTGTTAAAATATTATTCAGGCTGGTTTCCTGTGTTGGGGCAATGGCCTGGGTGATGGACCATTAAGAGAACCAAGGAAAGGGGGCTCTGTGTGAGACGGAAAGTGGATTGACTCTTCAACTCTCTGCTGCAGCAGAAGCCAGAGGTGGAAAGGGGAAGGTCTAAGAGGTTAGTTGGGGGGGGGGGCAGTGACAGGGACCAGAGGGCTGGGGGTGACGAGGTAGGTGTGGCTGGTGAGCAAGGCAAGCAGGAGCACAGCCTGTAGTATACAGTGGTACCTTGGGTTAAGTACTTAATTTGTTCCAGAGGTCTGTACTTAACCTGAAACTGTTCTTAACCTGAAGCACCACTTTAGCTAATGTGCCTCTTGCTGCCACCACGCCGCCAGAGCCCAATTTCTGTTCTTGTCCTGAAGCAAAGTTCTTAACCTGAAGCACTATTTCTGGGTTAGTGGAGTGTGTAACCTGAAGCGTGTGTAACCTGAAGCACCGTTGTACACAAGAAGAGGGGGACGACTGAGCTGATTTAACAGGCTTGCTGGAATGTCTGTAATGCACTTAATGAAATCTACAGTTCTGCTGGTGAAAACTCACACAGCTAGGTGAAGAATGCACTGTTAACTGCTTCAGAGACTGGGCTTCTGCCTTCAGCCTTGAGAGCTTGACTCTCGAGTTTCAATTTCTAAGAAAAAGGATGCATTTATTTCTTTGGAGAAGTGAAACTCTGGATAAATCTTTTCCCCTTGTCAGCCTGTGCAGTTAACATACTAAGTGCTGTGTGAGCACAGTTCTATGAAAAGAACAGAAGCCTTCTGTCATCAGCGTGCAATCCACGCCTTTCCATTTTCTAATTCAGCTAGTTAAGAGATGTTGCTTGGCACATCAGAAGAAACATTTGGCTCCAGAGTTACATTGTGTTCAAACACCACCACCACCCTGCCCAAAAAAACTTCCTACTTTGGCAAGCCTACCACTCCTCTATTTTTCTTTTAACTAAATGCTATTTTCAAAGATTTTAAATGTAAAGACCTGCCTTCCAGAGCAGAAACTAGTACAGTGGTACCTCGGGTTAAGTACTTAATTCGTTCCGGAGGTCCGTACTTAACCTGAAACTGTTCTTAACCTGAAGCACCACTTTAGCTAATGGGGCCTCCTGCTGCTGCCGCACCGCCGGAGCAGGATTTCTGTTCTCATCCTGAAGCAAAGTTCTTAATCTGAAGCACTATTTCTGGGTTAGCAGAGTCTGTAACCTGAAGCGTATGTAACCTGAAGCGTATGTAACCCGAGGTACCACTGTATTTCACATCTACGATGCCAGCATAATCATATACTTTCCAACCTGTTCTCTCGTTCGGGGGTGGAGGATCTCAGGCCTGGGGATTGAATGCTACCTTCCATGCCTCTGTAAACTCTCCAGGCTTCATTGCACACCAAGAGTTTTTGCAAAGCTGGAATGCGTCTAGAGTGCACGGAAACACTGCTTACCTTTCCACTACTTGTGCTGGTATGCTTTTGAACTCTTAGGTTGGCAGGACCTGGGACACAGCAACGGAAGCTCACCCTGTCGCACGGATTTGAACTGCCAATCTTACAATTGGCAAGCCCAAGAGGCTCAGTGGTTTAGACCACAGCGGCACCTGCAACCCTGGGGGGTCTCTGCACGCACGGTACATGGAGATGCATTGCACACACAGGGCGCATCCTGTTGTTGAGCATCTCTCCTGACACAGTTGCAGGCAGATTTACACAACACTGGCCACTTAATGCCATCTAAGCTCCCTGCAAATAAATGCTCATTATGTCAAAGTGAGTGCTATCCCACACCTTCCAGTGCATTTCCCCATCACTTTCCTTTTCACCAAATTAACTATAATTGTGCAGCATACAATGTTGGCATGTGCTTGAACAGGGGTAGGCAACCTAAGGCCCATGAGCCGGATGTGGCCCAATCGCCTTCTAGATCCAGTCCACAGACGGTCCAGGAATTAGCGTGTTTTTACATGAGTAGAATGTGTCTTTTTATTTAAAATGCATCTCTGGGTTATTTGTGGGGCATAGGAATTCGTTCATTTCCCCCAAAAAAATATAGTCCGGCCCCCCACATGGTCTGAGGGACAGTGGACTGGCCCACGGCTGAAAAAGGTTGCTGACCCCTGTGCTTGAATCTCACCTGAAAATAGTGACAGTCTAGAAGCAAGCACAGATTCCAGGGAACCTTGCAATGCAAAGTCCCTCCTTTTATCATCCTCCTATTTGAATGATGCTAAGCAGTTTGGTCCTAAATTATAATCACGATAATGAAATTATACATCCCATTTTGAAGTTCTCCCACACCTACCATATCTTATTTCAGTGGTGTTTTGGAACTTCTTCCCCATGCTCCTTATATGAAAGCTGTCTTCAATAGCCTTGATGCATTTATTCCCCTTAGCCTCTGCAACACAGAACAGCCTACGCATAGCTTATGTTCATATATGAACTGATATGCGGCTGTCTTGTGTTCCTTCCCTCACACCTCAAGCAGCAACGTATGGAATCAAAGCATAAATCATCAGAAGGTGACCTGCTGCCAACAGTGACAAATATCCACAGTTACTGAAGGAAAAAGAAAATTCCCCCATATCGCATGGTGATTAATTCCACCTCCCACTCCAAGCTCTCAGCGTCTGCCTTTGGTACCAATCTCCTGTATGTCACCAATGTATGAAAAATTCTAGTCCAGTGAAAAATGTGTCCCCAGGCATACAGTGTCATTGCACAATTTTAAAGTTGCTGCTGGGCATACAAGGACCTTGTAAAGCAGAGCAAGTTGACCACAAAAATCTTAATAGTAACAGCCCATTTGTTCCTAAATTGCTAATCCCAAGCAAGTGGGGATTGACTCTTATGCCAAGTACATCGTATGGCTGGGTTCTAGCTAAAGGGGAACCCTTTTATTAGAGTTTTAAAATATGTGTGTTCTTTTAATTAGTTTTCCAATAAACCCCCACTAATAGCCAAATTATAATAATAATTCCCAAATTATAATTATAATAATTCCTAAATTATGCCATTATCAAAATGCCAATTAACTTCCATTTAATACATTTTAGTTAAAGTGGTTCCCCACATGATGGTTTGGGTGCATTTCCGATCTTATATCACTGCATTCCATAATCTTAATTGATGTCAGTTACATTTCGGTTATAGTAATAATTCCTCAGTCAATAGCTACATAATTAATGATTTCCATTTGTGATGTTACAATATATAAATTTATAAAGCTTCAAGTGAGGAACTCAAACTATTATCTTTATTCTGTGAAAACTTTATTAGAGTAATTATATTCTAGTGTAAAATATTTGCCGGTTTTGCTTCCACTGCTCAGAATGTGATGGAGATTTATTTGTGGCATCACCAAAAAAGCAGAGATTACATTTTTAGCAGCTTGGAAGTTTAAATATCTGGTGCAATACCTAACAGTTGCTAGGCCTTCAGGTCAGGTTTGATGGATGATATCCAATGGATAGCATCACTACCCTTTAATGTACAAAAGTTCTTTAAATGGGCAGAAAATGCAGAAAATCAACAGATAAGGCTTTCTCCACCACTGCATCCCTGAGGGGAAAAACCCACCTGTATAATTCTTGACTATGATGAACTGGGATGGAATTATTTTATAAAAGCTTCCAATCTTACCATTGGAATGCAGTAAACTTGCCCCATTCTTACCCAACATGTTGCTCCTTTGAGACGCCTGTGAAGTTATTTGGTTGCCTCGGTGCATAACTTACAAGGCAGCTGCCAGTACTCATAAGACAAGGTAGTTGCATTGTGTCTTTCGACAAGTTCTTGTCTGAATACACTTCCTCTTGCAACTGAAAAGGCTATTCCTGAATGGGAAAGACATGCTGTGGTTGTCACATCTGTAAACCGCAAGGGGAGAAGTCATGGCTGATGTTTAGCTTCTTATACTCATGCGCATTCTGGAGTTGTAGGAGCGATTCCTGTAAAAGTTGTGCATGGCATCTCTGCAAAATGACAAGATGTTCCTATTGTTTGCCAGAGCCTTCCATCCACTGAGAAATGTTTGCCTTGTGTTTGCAAATATTCCGACATCAGAGCTTTGGGTGACCTCTGGGTCTTTTACTATCGGCTCTCTCACCTTTGGTACATGTTCATTTTGAATCTACATAGGCTCAAGTCAGCAGTGCTATCCCTGCTTGAGAGCTAGCGAGATGCATTCTGCTTCTATTTAAATTATAGCATCTATCTTTATATTTGCACCTGTGCCTATAAACTGGGGGGGGGGTGTTAGCGATTGCGTTTTCCTATATTTTTAGCTGTTCCTTGTTGTAAAATGCAAGCCGCCTCGAGTCCCTGTCAGGGGAAAGAGGTGGGGTATGTGTGTGTGTATATATGAATGTGCAACAATAACGCAAATTTGTGTCTTCATTTATTTTATTTTCCTGCATGCAAAAGTCACCTTGCGCACTTTGGGGTCTCTCTCTGCCACCCAGTAACCAAACCCTCCCAAGCATTGCGCTTGGTTTAGATTCCCAACCTTGTAAGGGAAGCCGCGCCTCCTCTGACGAAACGAAAGTTGCCGCCGCGGCCGCGCAGGCGCATTCGAACCCGGACCCGGTGGGCGTGGCTTGGGCGGCACTGTCCCTTTTAGGCCGCCGTCGCCTCCTCCCTCCCCTCCGCTCCCGGCTTGTTGGCTAAAGCGTCGCTGCCGTCGCGCTGCCGGCAGAGGCTCTCGGAAGTGGCCTGTGGGAGAAGATGGCGCTGGCTGAGGCGAGCTCCCGGTACGCGGAGGGGGCAACGGCCGCCGCTGAGCGGCTGGACCCGCTGTCCCGCTTCACCTGCCCGGTGTGCCTGGAGGTGTTCGAGAGCCCCGTGAGGGCGCCCTGCGGCCATGTGTGAGTGCGGAACAGGCCGCGGGGGCCGGAGCGGAGATAGGAGGCCGCAGGGGTGGGTGAGGTAACCATGGCAACGAGGGACTGTGGGGGCGCTCTTGGGCGGAGGCCGGTTAGAACTGGACGGGCCGCTTTGCTGGCCCAGGAGCGCAGCGAGGAGGAGGAGGCCGCCGCGGCTGTGTTCGCCTCTTCCCTCCTCCAGCTGCACCGCCGCCGCCTTGCCTTACCAAAGCTCTGGGCTGCGGCGGAGGCCGGGTTTAAATCGCCAATGCGGTGGGAAACGGGTGTGGGTTATTGTGTTTTTTTTGGGGGGGGGATGGTGTTTAAACCCGAGTTTCCCCTTTTGGCCGTTCATAACAACTCCCGTGTTAACGTTTCGGGTCTCCGCCGGCCTGCCGCTTTTGCAGCTGAGCGGAGATGCTTGCTAAGGAACAGGGCGTGTAGGTTCTTTCCAGAGTTAGCTTTCGGTTCCATGGGTTTTCTTTGCAGTGTTTACACTTTCTGTTTCGCTTTTGCTCCTCCTCCTCCTCCTGCTGCTGCTGCACGAGCGGCTCGCCCTTCCTTTCACCAAGCGCACCTCGAAATCTTGCGCCATAGGTTAAAAAGTGCTCGTTTCTGGTAGAGCACAGCGTTGAAATGGTGGAAACACAAGAACTAAGTGGCAATTATAAGTGACAGGTAATTAATTATAAGTGGAAGAACAGGTACTTAATTATACGTGAAGGGAAAAATTGTAGCCTTTGAGCTTTTTAGGAACCAGCATGAGAAATTGGTCGACCTTAAATGCCTGAAGAAAATAGGGGTGCTAGCACTTAAAACTTTCAGAGAGCTTTTTCAGAGAGCATATATAATTTTTCCAGCCCTGAAAATGGCCACATGCTCCCAGCAGTGTTACCTTTTGCCATCTGTTAACAGGTACATATTGCTGTTAACTTACTGGTGTTGTGTGAACTTCATTGGTCACATAAATGCATTTCTGTGTAGCACAGAAGCCATAATGCTTAGACTTGGTTGCAGAAATGCTCTTGTTGGGTAGCCCTGTATACACGAAACAAATACTGTCATCCTGCAGTAGTAGCATGCATTATATCTGCTCTTCCTTGGTCTGTTCTAAAGAAATAAATGAAAGAAATCAAAACTGCACCTGTTGAGCAATTATGCTGCCTGTTTTTACTGGAAGTGTGAATGGTTGTGACAGGTGCAATCCATAGTCCCTGACTACTTTTATATGTGGTTTTTTTTATTTTGCCATAATTTGATGCTATGTATATAGCATGCTGGGGGATGCGGGTGGCGCTGTGGGTAAAACCTCAGCGCCTAGGACTTGCCGATCGCATGGTTGGCGGTTCGAATCCCCGTCGTTTGGTCCCAGCTCCTGCCCACCTAGCAGTTCGAAAGCACCCCTAAGTGCAAGTAGATAAATAGGTTCCACTTTATAGCGGGAAGGTAAACGGTGTTTCCGTGTGTTGCTCTGGTGCCGGTTCACCAGAGCAGCTTCGTCACGCTGGCCACGTGACCCGGAAGTGTCTGCGGACAGCGCTGGCTCCCGGCCTCTAGAGTGAGATGAGCGCACAACCCTAGAGTCTGTCAAGACTGGCCCGTAGGGGCAGGGGTACCTTTACTTTACCTTTATATAGGAATATGATTACTATTGCTAACACTGCTGCTTAGTGAAGTTTATAGCAGCAATATTCACTTTTTATATAAGGTGTGGCTAACTATTCACCAGTGGTATACTTTTGTGACTTCATCTTGCATGTTATCAAAAGTAAACGTCAACTGTGATTCATGCCGCTATCATTAATGTTGGTTTTACAAGGTCTTTGCGGAGCAGGTTTTATGCTCCTTATGTGGTCAATTTTAAGCAAGAAGAGACATTATTAAAAGGAACAAAAAGCTGTTAACCGGTTAACTAGGTAACTTTAAGGTAAGTTATAGAAATAGTTAGGTGTAGGTTGCCTTTTAAAGATTACATTGTAATATATTAATAGGTTTCTAGGTCCTGTGCTGCTTGTGATTTCTTTTGGTGTTATAAGAAAGGGGTGCATTGGCACATTGACTGATTGTGTACAATGCAAATGTTAATATACTGTCTTTTTTTCATATTAGCTTTTGCACACCATGCATTCAGGAGTGTCTTAAGCCAAAAAAGCCAGTTTGTGGAGTTTGCCGCAGTACCCTGTCTCACGGCAGCAGAGCTTTCGACTTGGAAAAGCAAATTGAAATGACAGAGACTACTTGCAATGGCTGCAATAAAAAAGTAGGAAAAGCTGGCCTGTGTTTACCTATATATAACATGAATCTAGATAAAAGCAAATTTTCACATTAGATTTCCTCACTTGATAATTGTCAGATTTGTGTAAAACAAAATTCTGGTAAGCCCTGCTGAATTTCATGGTGGTCGGGAAGAGGCTATTCATGTCTTTCAAAGAACTGGCCATGGTAACGTGGTTTTTTACTTTTTTTCTTGCCTCGACTAGAGTGTGGGAAATGGGTCTTTCAGTTTCCTGCAATGAGATCTGTCAGTAGTGGAAGCAATCCAGAATGTTCAGATCTTGTCACAGGAGGGTATCATGGGAAATATTCTACTAACATGTCCTGTCAGTGCAAGGATTTCCACTTGCACAACAGGACTACCCCTTCTTCCATTCCATACCCTCTCCAAATCTGCTCCAGTGGGTTAGGGGAAGCCCTGGAGCAGCTTTTGGGGGGGAGGGGCTAGAATGCTCCTTTGCATAAATCCTTGTGCTAACAGAATGATTGCCTTAGCACTACTTTGGATTCCACCCCATGACTGCACACCAACATTACAGTGCAGGTGGTGAAGAGAATGCATGGCAAAAGCCCTCATGCAGCTTTTCAGTATTTCTTTGTAATATAAGAAGTAGCTCTCATTAAAGCATACAATTGTTTTGTGAAATTGATGCCATAATTGCTTCAATGGACCCCATGCACTTTGTTTATGATTTGTAGTGAAGGTTGCATAACCCCTTAAGGGGTAACAAAGTGGATTTTGGATGTACTGCTGATATCTTGAATAAAGTCTGATAGTTTGGGGACTGTTTTGTGCCAAAATTGTGTCAGGAATGGAACTGCATTTTATAGCTGTCTTCCCAAAGCCCTACAGATGTTTTCAACTTCAGCTCCCATCAGACCCAAGCAACATGGCCAGTGGTCAAGGTTGATGGAAGTTGTTGCCCAAAACATATGGAGGGCACCACGTTGGGGAGCACTCCTTTATATTGTCAGTGTTCACAGGACAGTGAGAATGTAAGGGGGGGTTAATGAAGAGCTGTTGTATCTAAAAGTATCTAAAAATACTTTGCTCTTTTGTAAGAATGGTTTTTTGTCTATATCATTTGCAGTTGAAAGTAAAACTGAAGTCCTCTATTTTTAAAATATCTGTCTTTCCATGTCTCAAACTGAATGCCTCTCAAGTGTATCATATTCTGTACTGAGCTTAAATCAGCATCCTCTTATCTATAAATGCACACACATAATATATTAAATGTGCTCAGCTTGATATATTTGCCAGCTGAGACTGTTAAAAATTCCTTACCGTTCTAGAAATTGTCAGATAATAGACTTCTTTAGATCTGGTAAACCAAAATTAAAATTCTTGTTCAATTGTAGTTTGGACAAGCAAGCTGAACTCATAAAATGGAAATCATAGAGTAATCCTGTAATTTGTGTTTTCAGTACAAATAAAATATCATACAATATTGTGACTATATAGAAAGAAAAGCTTTTATTGGTAAATGTTGGCAACTGTACTTTGTCAGTGTCTGGAGAAGTCCAGATGATGATACAAACTTGTTTAGAGACTAACATTATATATGGGAAATGTCACAGCACAATAGGAAATATTAAATTCCATCCACCTCTGTTTTCTGAAACCAGAGTTTGTTTTATAATTTTGAAGGGGAGAGAAGTTGTCCCCAAGTACAATTTTAATACTATCCATATATCCTGGTGCTGTTCATGTGACCTTGTCACAATGCAGTTCTTAAAGCAAGCTACAGTAGTTGATGTCTTTCTAGCTGATTGTATTATACAGAGTTAACTAACTTGGGGCATAAGAGAAACAGTAGACTGTTTAATCTCCTGGAAATGAAAGATAAGAACAGTGTCTGGATAAACAAGGTGTCAGCTAACAGAACAGTAAGGGATAGGCTAGGTGCTGCAGTCTTGCTGCAAAGTGGTAAATCAACTTAGTACAATGTGTCCCTTGTAACTCTGTATTCTTTGACCCAGAGCCTGTCACAACAACCCTTTTGGGCAGTCCTTGGAACATACTTTTATGTCACATCTGAAACACCTACACTGTTTTAAAGAAAATGTTTTATTTTCTCATTCTGTACAGATGTACCTCTCAAAGCTGCGTAATCATGCAGCTTCTTGTTTGAAGTACCAGAATTATATAATGGAAGGTGTTAAAGCCGTGACAAAAGATCCACCGCAGGATACCAGGTAAACCTCTCAACTGTTGTGATTTGCTTACTTGTAATGAAAGCTCATATATAAGATAGGTGTAAAAACTGAGTTTCCTGTTGATGTACTGTCCAAAGTTGTATCAAGGGATCAACACTGTACCTATGTGCAGAAGTTGGGTTTGTACTGATATTGTACAAACATGCTGCCCAGTGATGTTCACAGAAAGGGGGAGGATGTTGGTTTCTGCTTCCTCACTGAGCAGTGAATGCATGTCACAAGACATTGTTTTGCATTCCACAGTCCAAGTTACTGTTGGGTTCCCACGGGAATGGGAGACTGGATGTGACGTACACTGGTTTCCTATTTTTCACTGTTCTCTCGGTTTCTTTGTTAGAGAGACAGTTGCTTCTCTGCTGTTACAGAGGCAGGATGCATGTTTGTATGCTCTCAGCATAGGTAAAGGTATACCCCTGCCCATACGGGCCAGTCGTGTCCGACTCTAGGGTTGTGCGCCCATCTCACTTAAGAGGCCGGGGGCCAGCGCTGTCCGGAGACACTTCCGGGTCACGTGGCCAGCGTGACGAAGCTGCTCTGGCGAGCCAGCACCAGCGCAGCACACGGAAACGCTGTTTACCTTCCCGCTATAAAGCGGAACCTATTTATCTACTTGCACTTAGGGGTGCTTTCGAACTGCTAGGTGGGCAGGAGCTGGGACCAAACGACGGGAGCTCACCCCTCCGCGGGGATTCGAACCGCCGACCATACGATCGGCAAGTCCTAGGCACTGAGGTTTTACCCACAGCGCCACCCGCGTCCCGCTCTCAGCATAGCTTGTAAATAAAGTCAACATGTAGCACATTACCTGCTTATCCTTCTGCTGTGTGCCTACGCTCTGTTTGGGCTCAAGATAAGACGAGCCTGTACCGGCTTCAGATGGGCCGAAGCTGGTCAAAATCTCACAATCTGCAGCATGAAAAGTGTTGCTGCTTTGTGCCAAATGAGAAAGGGTTTTCCTTTCATATTTTAAAAGCCTCAAACATTGAGGGCACTAGAGGCTTAATTATAAGCTATTTTGTGTGCTTTTCCCTTCAGAGGTTGTAGTACTGCCTAATAGCTTGCACTGCTTATCATAGTTGCTTTGTTGAGTGATTCTGCTGTTCTACTCAAAGAGCCTTCTCCTACATGAAGTTAAGCTGCTACATAATTGGAAGTTTTTCATAGAAGTGAAGGCCTTACCGTCTGTTTCTACAGGAGTGTTCCAAATAGGTTCACATTTCCCTGCCCTTACTGCAATGAGAGAAATCTGGACCAGGAAGGGCTGGTAGAACACTGCCGAAAGTATCACAGCATGGATGCAAAGCGAGTGGTAATTGCTTTACTTTTAAAAGTGTAGTTCAGGGTGGGTTGATAGGTCATTTAATATGAAGCTTTTTTTCCTTGAAGGAACAAATAGCCTTACTTTAATTATAGTTAGTATCCCAGTGCTGCATGACTTGCTAAAATTTTCTTAACAAACTTTTTTTCTGCCATTGCTGTATTTTAGCAACTACTAACATGGCTGGGTGTTTGTAGTGGTGTTTTTGAATACTTAAGATTGTTGCAGTTAGTAGGAGTTGCCCCACCCAAAGTTTACACTAGGAAGCATCAAGATATTTGGCTTGTGGCCAAAGAATCCCCAGTAGAATTCTGTTTGCCCTACAAGGCTTTCTTTCCCTCCCACTCTTCCCACACCATTTCCTTATGCCTCTTGAAAAGCCATTCCTAGGCTTTGCAGCAAGACAGTGCTGTGCTTGGGGCAGTGACTAATAAGTTTGTATGGACAGAATTGCCCTTCTGTTCTTTGGGTTTCTTACTAAGGGTTTTCCTGGGACAAGCCTTTGACAAAGAAAATAGTGGGCGGGATCTAGAATATATGCTGATCAGATTGGGGGGGGGGGACCTCCCACCAAACTTGAAATGGAAGAAATTTGGGTTGGATAAACTGCAAACTTTTCCAGGTTTGCCCGATTTGTGCATCAATGCCATGGGGTGATCCAAACTACAGAAGTGCTAACTTCATGGAACATCTTCAACGACGACACCAATTTTCTTATGATACTTTTGTGGTAAGTAGTAACTAGGAAACAGCCTCTTCAGAATTTACCAAATGCTAGTCTTTTATTTTAAACTTTGTCTTTTTGGACAGCCTTATTCTAATGTAAAAAGCTAGGAAATAGTGTTTCATTTAATTGCCGTCCTTGGAGGGGGGAATGACCCTTCACAGATCAGCCCATACACAGAAGTGAGTGAAGCCACAACTGGGCCCTGAGCATTCAGGGAAATCTTGGGCGTACCCCTTGGAAATTTGTGCCTATACCACTTAACATCCTGTAGTGGGAGAAATGAGAAGTGAAAGAAGGAAATTGGCTTTAACAGTTCTGGTACAAGACCAAAATCTGTTTAATCACACGCATTCTCCCTTGTCTCCTGTTTTTAGGATTATAATGCTGATGAAGATGACACGGTGGCCCAAGTTCTGTTACGTTCCTTGAGGGATCAGTGAATATTGCAAGGAGTAAAACTCTTCAATACTTGGCTTCCATTAGGGGAAATGTACCACAGTCACTATTTGCCTCAAGATTCTTTGGCGTCCTTAAAAGTGAAGAGCCTTTCTTAGTTTTGGTTCCTGCTGTCTCCATACTTGGCCTCTTCTAATGGTTGCTCCTTTACCGTTTGCCTGCTCAAGGGTATCTCTTCTTTCCAGTTAATCTTAAATATTATTCTCTGCTTTTTCTTTAACTTTTGACTTCTAAGGCCTATACATCACCAGGAACTTGGCAATAATTTCATCCTGTGAGCATCCTCTTCAGATTATTGTGCTTTCCTAGACATTGGTCAAGCATCCGAAGACTAGGTTTTCTAGATAATATAGAAGCCCTGGTTTATTAGGTTCAGCTGTTAGAAATGGGTTTCCATTTCTTGATTTTGTAGAGAAATGGTGGATTTTATTCCAAATCCACCATTACAAAAGTTGATGCCAGCCATTCAACCGCACAAGTCCCAGTTGTGAGTAATTCTCTCACTTCACAATATGCTCTTGTGTGCGTTCAGCAACTGTACAGTACCTGCTTCTGTGAGTTTAGAGGGAATTGGTTGTTTCTTTAATTTGTTTGTTTTTTATTTCTCCATCTTTTGACATCTTTGCAAAGTTCAGATGTGAAGTATGATGGTGTTTGTGTGGTGCTTGGGAAGACAGAAGAATTCAAACACAATGTTTTATTTCTTGCCTCTTAAACTCAAACTTGTATATTTCTACCTCTGCGCCTAGAGTTCGGAACAATTTGAGAACAAGAGGGGTGAACTTTAGCAGCTGGTTTCTTAGATGTAATATGTTGGAAATACTGCCCTTTATGTAAAACTGCACTTCTATATCCAAAACAAATGCTATGAAGGGATGTGCGAGAATTTCCATTCTGACATGGCAGTGTTAATGTGCTTAACCTATGGTAAGCATACAGCCACATTTTGAATTCTTAGGCTGCTGTGGTTCAAAAACATTTCAGTACATGGTATACAAGAGCTGATTCTCAAATTCGTTCTTGATACCTCAAAAACCCTAGCTCTATTCTTGCCTGCTGTTTACACACTAACTAAACAGGTGATTGACAAGTTGGGTGGTGTCTGCTGGCCTGGTGGTCCTGTGCTGAATGGGATAGGAGAACAGGGCTCTACATACAGCTCTGCAGGCTTTATCTGCCAGCTCAGAAACCCTATTAGGAACTTATTCTACTGAATACCCAGAGATCATATGATGCGGCCTGCAGGTGTAATTCCACTTCCCTATCACGTTTAGTCAATATATAGTGAGAATAGGGCTACAGTGAAGTGATTTGCCAGAGGTTATCAGCACTTCTGAATGTACTGCCATGGAGTTAAGTCTGAAATGTTAGTATTGGATAACCTTTTCTTTTTGCTGGATGTGTAAATATCCTCTTGTGTGGCACATTCGGATGTCATGTTCTGTGTACAAAAAATAACAGTGCATTTAACTGTCAGAAGCAAGTTTGAGAACTGGGCCAGATTCCTTAGTTCAGCCATTCCTAGCCTTGGGTCCCCAGGTGGTGTTGGACTGTAACTCCCATCAGCCCCAGCTGTAGTCCAATAACATCCGGAGACCCAAGGGTTGGGAAAGGCTGCCTTAGATTATACTTCTGTTATACAACCAGATCATTTGTTCTGTGTTTAACGACAACCTTTTGCACTAATTCTTATAAGTGAAACCAATGTGAGGTTATGGCGCCAGAGCTAATAGCGATTTATGTAAACCAGTACACATAATTTAGCCTGACAGGCATGCAGTGATAAAATCTGAGTCTGAAGTATGTTTACAGCCTGCTGAAAGATAGATTCTTAGAACCTGTGGCTTTGAGCTAATAATGACATGGTACATCTGAAACTAGTTCCTATGCTGAAGTGGTCTAACTGCCAACTGCCCATGCTACTTTTTAGAAAGAGCTCTGTGTGGAGACCGCTTAGTCCTATGCTAAAATTCTGTCTTGAAACCTTTGGTTGCTAGGATTTTGATTCCATATTAAGAGTTTTGCACTGAACCATTAATTATATTTTTTCTGTGAGTTTGGCCAAGATGCAAAGAGGGCATGTGGTGTTCTGGGGCTCATGAAGCTCACTTCTGTCACCCTAGGCCCTTGTGTGTCTTTGCATTTCAAAGCAGTACGTGAAGTCTGGGAAATCCACCAAAACAATGTTCGGTATGGTATAGAAAGCCCATAGCACAGGGATCAGGAACCTGTGACCCTTCAGGTGCACTGCAGTTTCCATCATCTCTCCTAATTGGCCATGCTGGCTGAGGCTGATGGGAGCTGGAGTCTTAACATTCCCCATGCCTGCTGTAGCCAGAAGGGAGAACTGGCTGTCCATATATGCACGGAAGTGCCTTCTGCATGCATGTGGACCTCTTTGAATCTTGGCCACTGTCTTTCAGTATTCAGTCAGAACATTCTGCCATCTGCCTATGGAATTCATAGGAACCTGGGTATCCTCCATGAACACATCAAGTCTTTTTTGTTCTTGTAATTCTAAGTGCACTTCTAGTAATTTTAATAAAAATTTTAGAGTGTCAAATCTGTCTTGTTCTGGCTTTTAAATGAAAAAAAAAATGTAAATAAACATAATGGATAAACACTAATACTTTGGAAATACTTTGTCCCTTGCTATGGGGAGCTCCAATGGCTGTCACTTGAAGAGCAGTAATGAGCAAAGCTCAGTCTCTGCTGAGTCTTACTCTTCTAGGTTTTCACCAGCTTCCTCTGTTGTTGCTGAGTGAAAATCTCAAGCACAGAATTTTATTCTGGAACATAGTTTTATTGAACCAACTTCAGCCTGGCTACTCCTCCACACTGCTGTGGGGAGTGGGAGAGAAGCCTTGTGCAGCTCATATTGTGGACAAAAATAAATCTATCAACTCTTGGGCATGCTGACATGTACTGTTTCAGGATATGAAGGGAAAGGATTAAATGCATATGGGGTACAGAAACTGCATTAACCTGTGCTTTTTAGAAGACACTTCATCCTGTCCTAATTTGCATATGTTGGTAGGTTTCTGATCATGTTGACAAAAGCCCTATTCTAAGTGTAAAACATTGCCTTGCTCATTTAATCTAAATGACCCTACCAAATATAGAAAGTGACAGCTGATCAACTGCTCTGTATACAAAACAAAAACCAAAAAAAAATCAAGCTCACCTCATAGAAACCATCCCGTATTGAATCTACAGGTATAAATGAGCACAATGGCTATGTTGTTTGTAAATTCAATCTAGTCTGTTCCTTTTATTCCCTGCACACATAGCTATGCAAGAGGTGTAATTTCTGAACCAAGCCTTGTTGGTAGTTACAACCCAATGTTCAAATACACTTTGGCCTCACTTTTAAGGAGAAGATAGCTAGATTCATGCTTTGGCCTTTACACTGAATACAGAGTGATAGCAATATTCTTATCATTGGGGAGTACATACATGTGCTGGATTGGTATATCTCTGGGGCTCATTGGTTGTCCCCCAGGTATTTGATGAGCCCAGTATTGGTACATGTTGGATTTTTGAACATTTGTAAGAATGGTGTCAATGTTATTTATAAACTGGTAAGAAACAAACAAAAATAATAGTGTTATAAAATGCACTCATTAAGCAGTGGTGAAATTCTACAACTCAATGGAACAAATGGCCAGCATTGAATCAAATTCTCCTAATGCTTGGCAAAACAAAAACCTTTCCAGCCTTCTGCTAAGGTCAACCGCCTATTAATGGATCTGGAGTTGTCATAATGCATGTTAAATACTTCTTACTTGCATATTTCTCTATTAACTATGTTTTCAGTTCTGTTCACAAATGGAGCTGGCTGTATTGGAAGGCTTTGCAGTGTCCCCAATTTGGAAAGGTGGTAGCTTAGTGGTAGAACATCTGCTTTGCTTGCAGAAGGTTCCACGTTCTTTCTCTGGCATCTCCAAGAAGGATTGCTAGAGTGCCAAGTTCAAAACCCTAGAGAACCTCTGCCAGTCAGGGTAGACAATTCTGAGCTACATAGACCGTACAGTCAGGGGAAAGAAAGTACCCCCTCTTTGAATTCTGTCGTTTTACATTTTTAAAAAAGGGACCCCTGACCGTTAAGTCCAGTTGAGGATTACTCTGGGGTTGTGGCACTCATCTCGCTTTACTGGCTAAGGGAGTTGGCGTTTGTCCGCAGACAGCTTTGGGGTCATGTGGCCACCATTACTAAGCCGCTTCTGGCAAACCAGAGCAGCGCACGGACATAACAACAATCATCTGTTCCTTAGCATGTCATAAAATTAGGTAAATACAACCTCGGATGAAAAACAACACATGACATATTACACCCTGTCATGATTTATTTAACACAAATAAAGCCAAATTCAAAGAGGGTATATGTTCTTTATCCCATGACTGTAGGCTGAATCAGTGAGACTGTACACAAAGAGCAATTTCATTTCTTCCACAACACTGCTGCTGCTGCTGACCTGCTGGTCCCCATTCTCCAATATAGTAAAAAGACACCAGCATGGAACTGCAAAACTAGAATTTATCAATAACTCTATTTGTATAGAACAGGATCAGAACCAAGGTTTCCTCACCCACTTGAGGGTTTAATCAAATCATAGCTAGTGCGATGGTATGTGGGATCGGGCTTAGTGCTAACTGCATTTTGTAGCACTTTAGGCTCACTGTTAACACATATTACTGAACTTCGTAACTTTACATAAGGTTCAAGCACAGCACTACAAATTAAAATCAGCTAAAACAGTTTACAGTCAGAATAATAGGTGTGTCTTAAAGAGCAAGGTAAAGAGGTGTGTCTTCAGCTTGTGTCATAAGCCATCAAATGATGAACTTGGATTCACCTCTGTGAATTCCACAATTTAGGAGCTGTCACAGAGAATGTTCTCTCCTGGGCCCCCATCCCCTGATACTCTAAGGGGGCTGAAATTACCAAGAGGGCCTCTGCTGATTTTAGCAATGGAGAGGTCTGTAGGGAAGGAGGTATTTTCTTCAGATATTTGGGGACGAAGCTGTTTAGGATTTTAAACATTAGTGCATGTATATATCAGCTGAGTAGAACACACACACTGTTCCAGTGGGCTCTAGTCCATGAAAGCTTATGCCACAATAAAACAAGACTTTTTACAGTGTCTTAAGCCTCTTCCTATGTTTAGCACTGTTGCTACTCTTCTACAAAGTCTCATTTCTGTCACAAGGAATTTAGCATCTGGACAGCAGAGAGCAGTCTTGCAGCTCTTTTCAAGTTGCCAAGGCAGACAAGTGTGGAGAACATAAATTAAGCATTTGCTACATTTTTATTATCTTTGAGCATTTCCTCTACCAACTGAGTACAGTAGTTGCTTGACGTATGTACTGTGTGTACGGCAGCTTGTCTCATGTCAAATCCAGCCTTCTGAATGCAGAAATCTTAAGGCTTGAATTCTAAGCCCAGTTGCATGCACGAAGGCCCCATTGAACTCATAGGAACTGACTTTGGAGTTAAATTTGCTCAAGTTGGTGGTGTAACAAGGCTGCATTTTAATGGCCCTTGCATGTCCCCTTCTTGGCCTCCTTTTTGCTTTACTTCTGGATTTGTAGCCCCTTAAACTCCTGCCATTCAGAAGCCAAAAGTGGAAAATGCAATTAATATTTCCCGCTACTAAGGACTGTCTCAAGTAAGGGAAAAGTCCAGTGTACTCAGAAGGAATCATTTCCTTGTACATTACAATGCATAAAGTCAGCTAGTCTCCAAGCATTATAGTCTTATGAATGGCAATGGCTTTCCATAAGGCAAGCTGAAGCAGCAGACTTTGGATGTCCTCAAGGGCAGTAGAGTGGGAGGCAGATTTCTCATCCATGGCTCTTACCTAGAGCACAGTAGCTTCTCTCGCTGTCAGGAGTTGCTGGGGCTACAGAAGTGGGCCCCTGGCTCTGTACAGCTGCCACACGGGGTTGAGCCACTAGGGCAGAGATGGAGACTCTGTGGCTGCCAGTCATTGCACAATTTCTGCCATCTCCAGTCAGCATAACCAGTAGCTCTGCAACAACTGGATGAAGTCCCACAGGTCCCCATGCCTGTGCTAGGGTTATAAACTGGAGTGTCTCCCTAAGTGGTAAAGGCTTTCCAAGTCACATGGCTTGCTGTAGGCTCACTGCCGCAGCAGCAGCAGCAACAGCAACAACAATTTTATTTATACCCCACCCATCTGGCTGGGTTTCCCCAGTCACTCTGGGCGGCTCCTAGCAGAATAGTAAAAACACGATAAAACAGCAAACATAAAAAACTTCCCTAAACAAGGCTGCCTTCAGATGCCTTCTAAAAGTCAGATAGTTGTTTATTTCCTTGACATCTGAAGGAAGGGTGTTCCACAGGGAGGGCGCCACTACCGAAAAGGACTGGTTCCCTGTAACTTTGCTTCTCACAGTGAGAGAACCAGCAGAGGACTCTCAGAGGAGGAACTCAGTGTCCGGGATGAGTGATGGGGGTGGGAGGCGCTCCTTCAGGTATACTCAGGAAGAGCTGTAATAATGGTTTCTGGTTCAGGCTGAGACTTTACGTATGCAGTACAGTACTAGTCTTTTCTGGGCCTGGCTTGACTCTTGAGCCCCACTGCTGCCTGTTACTCAGCTCTGGCAGTTTCACAAGTGAAACCTGCAACAAAATGCTGCAGTGGGATCCTGTTTAGGATTTCAGCCAGCCCAAACCTTTTCCCCATTCCACCCTAGTTTTCTGTTTCTTTCTCCTCCAATAGCCATCATTCTGTGGCCACTGAGCATGTTCAGCCCTCATAGAGCTGTTTCTGGGAGTTCCCCCTAGGCTTGTTTTTTTTAAATGTAGTTCTGCAAGCCTTGGGTTTGCCTGCTGCTACCACCTTCCTATTTGTTTTCATGGCTTTGGCTACCCAAGGGTCTACAATCTGAGAAGAAGTATAGGAAAGCGCCCCCTGAGTTATGCCTCCGTGTTAACAAATAGCAAGAAAGGGGAAAGTTATTTAGATTTTACAGTGGTGTCTCGGGTTACATATGCTTCAGGTTACAGACTCCGCTAACCCAGAAATAATACCTGGGGTTAAGAACTTTGCTTCAGGATGAGAACAGAAATCGCGCGGCGGAGGCGCAGCAGCAGCAGGAGGCCCCATTAGCTAAAGTGGTGCTTCAGGTTAAGAACAGTTTCAGGTTAAGAACGGACCTCCGGAACGAATTTAGTACGTAACTAGAGGTACCACTGTACAACAAAACAACCATCTATGTCAGGGTCCCCTGAAACAGGGACTCTGTGGCCTTCCAGGTGTTGCTGCACTACAGCTCCCATCATCCCATTGGCCATGAAAGACTGGGGTCCAACAATATCTGGAGGGACAAAGTTCCCCATCCATGACCCAAATTGTTATGTACTGGGCCAGCAGGGGGATACTGTAGATAGTTGTCACTCAGGTCCACATATGCAAATAAGGGATTGAAAGTGATGTTCAGTGATTGGATAGTTACAGAAAGTGGTTACTGTTGCGTTGTAGTGGAGCTCTATATAAGCTGGCTGGCTGAACCCTTCAGTTCAGTTCTGTTCTCGCCTGTGAATAAACAAGAGCTGTTTGAAGAATCGCTGTGTCGTCTGATATGTTCACCCACAACTTAACACAAATGATGTCGGAGGGGATGACTTTTCTCCCTTTCGCCATCCCTGCTGTAAGAAACAACCAACAGCCATCTCAGAACCAAAAGGAGATTCAGCACCCACAACCAGGTGCCACGTTGAGCTGTCAAGATCTGCAGCGGAGGCAAACAACTGTAATTTGGGAAGCAGAACCACAGAAGAGTGTAAACGTGGGAGCCTTAATTGCCTTACCCTTTTTTCCTGGAAGCCCAGGGTTGTGATGATGGGAAATAATCCTCAGGAACGGATATTGGTAACTCCCTGTGAAAGATGTGGTTTTTTTGCCACCCACCTCACGACCTCTGGCTTCTAGGCAGCTGACGCACACTTCTGAAACTTGCCTGTGCCTTTATGCAACCACAAAGTTAAAATGCGTTATTTACCTTTCAGTAAAACTCTCAAGGTGACACTACAGATGATCAGGACCTGGAAGAGGTATGGGGAATAGGGTTTTTTTTGGAGGAGCATTGGCATATAACCCAGTTTTTCACTGACAGTGGCAACAGCTGTAAGGAAGAGGATATGCAGGCTGTTTTGTGAGAATGGGAAATAGTTTGGATTAAAGACTGGAAGCCCACCTTTCTGGGAGTTCAAAGTACGGTCCTAGTGTGGTCCAAGTGTTTAACTATTTGGTATACTTTGCAACCAACCAACCCCGCTACTCTTTGAAACAGAAGTCCAAGCCGAATGCAGTTTTCCAAAAAGGTGTAAAATAGGGGCAATGATCTACCTGGTTCTGGAGCTGGTAAATAGGACCAAATGGTCCTGATGGTGAGATTCTATGCCTGGGAAAAAACAATTAAAAACCATTTAAAATAATAATGTTTATTTCCCAGGGATCTGATGCTTCTCCCTAAACAAACATCCCTATTTCCATGTGGCTTCGGGGCTAAAGGGATCTCAGGCACCGCTGCCATGGAGTCTGGAGACAGATGGGACAATAGCTTTATCCAAAGGGTGTGAACTGCCACCTTTATCTGAATGCAGTGTGATAGCAACCCAAATCACTCAGCACTGGGCTGGGTCACAATTCTGCTGCTCTTCACTTGACTATAACAGCTCCTGGAAAGGGGGAGGAAAAGGCACTCCCGTCTCCTTGTCTCACACCCATTTTAAGAGGATTTGTCAGCAGCCTCTGAATATAATCAATTGGCCTTTTCAAAAAGCTGCCATAGAATGATATTCTTATTAGGAAGACCAACTAAAATGCTACAGAGCAGCAAATAAGCTTTTGAGAACTCTGGGACTCTTCCTTGTGCTGGATGAATAATCAAAACAACCACCCTTTAAAAAGAAAAAGGTTGTGGGGCAGGGAGGGAACAGCTGTGCATGATGGAAAAGCCCCAAAGCCTGCAGTTTGTTACAGTCTTAAGATGGAGTGTAGGAGGTGTTGTGCATACTTAATTAGATTAGACTCTGCTGGATGCAAAATAGTTTTCAGATTGCATCAAGGACTCCTGGGATTTATTTATTTTTTTAAAAAAAACAATAGCTGTTCCCCCCTTTTTATTTTTAAAAATATAAAAGGCCAACAAACTGAGAAAGCTAATACAAAAAGCAATTACAGTGAAAGCAGCAAGCTATGGATTGAGGCTGTGGACCTATGCACACTTACCTGGGAGTAAGTCCAACCGAACTCAAGTGGGACTAAGTTCTGTTCTGCATAGACAAGCATAGAATTCACTGTTAGAAAAGGAACTGATAAATTAATTGTCAGTGGAGTAGCTATGCTAACAGCCCATAACAGTAAAACTACATCAAAAGAGGACGGTGGCAACTTATTTGTTTTACTTATTGCTAGGATTTCTTATATGCTGCTATGATGAAGGTATACAATTCCACAGTGGGTTACCACAATACAGTTATAGAAAGAAATCAAAGTTATAATTTTGCAACATACAAATTCAGCAAAAGAGGTGGGTCTCCCAAAGGAAAATACGTTAACTGTCAAAAGCCAGGAGAAAGAGGTGTGTTTTCAGTATATGATGAAAGCTGTACAATGAAGGTGGCAGGTGCATCTCAGTGTTCCACACTTTAGGGGCTGCCACAGAAAAGGCCACAATTCCCAGGGCTTCCCAGTATGCCAGAAGGACCAAGAGAACCCCTTTAAAGACTAACAGATTTAATACTTTTGTCAAGCAATGGGGACAGCCCGTCAAATGTCATTGCTGTGTTGTTGTTATTATAAGAGTGCCATCAATGTGCATGATGCTTTGTAACAAGCACTTGCTGGTCCTTTCTCCATGGTGCTTATAAGGTCTGACATTGGGGAGGATGCACATTGAGGGAGGCATGGAAGATGCAGAGAGAACAAGGGATGTACGTGAGCAAATGCACGTACTCCACACATCTCTGTGCAGAAATCCAGCATTAAGTCCTTTGGGAGTGAACTGAAATCTAGCAGAGGCAGAGTTTGGCAGATCACACCTTCCATCTCGACACTTGTAGTAGAGACTTAAAACTGCAGGTGAGAATGTGCATCCCCTGTTCACAAAAGAGGATGCATCCAGCCACCTCAGGGGGAACCAGTTGGGCTTCCAATGGGGATTTGCACCCAGGTGTGCATATATTTTCTCCAGCAACTCTCCTCTGGTGGATGTGAACAAATAAGTATTTGAAATAGTGACAGAATCATACTCAGAGAGTGGAGGGGGCCCTGTAGACCATCCATCTAGTCCAATCCAACCCCCAGCTTGATGCAGGAAATCTGCCGCTGAGTGTTCAGCCTCAACAGGTGGCCGTGTAGCCTGTTTGAAGGCCTCGAGCAAGTGAGAATCAGACTATGGCATCAATGCTTGTGACATCATCTGAAGCAAAGCGAGAAGTTCAACTATTGATTTCCCAAAGGAAATCTAAGATTAGCCCGTTTAGACCTATAAATTGCAAGAGAACCACCTGTCATTCCTATAAGTCCCTCCAGTGTGAAATGAATGCAGTAGTAGTCCATTTCTCCCCACACACCCCAATAGAAGCATGTCTTTTAAAGCAGAGATAAGGAACCCTCTCTCTGGTTTCAGGTCTCTCCTCAGGCCACACCTCTTAGCAACCTCGATCCATACTCTCCTCGAGTGCATTTATCCATGGCAGACCTACATTTGGGGGGCTCTGAACCTTCAGCTGTCTTGGGGGCTGCTTCACAACCAGCAACAAGGTCGGGGGAACCACTGTTATGTTCTTTGATGGGGTCATTCCAGGACAGATCACACCTTCACAACATTGGTTCTAATCGGCTCTCAAACTTTGGGATTGTTGAAATATATACAACAAAAATTTAATCAATTTGAGTTGTGCCACTCAAATTGGGTCTACTAGGCCTAAAAAGTTTAAGCAACGTGAATTGAAGTTGCTTCTGGGGCCCTAAATCTTAAGCTTCAAGAGTTTCATGGTAGATCCACACCTGTATTTGGCTGACTGGAATGTGTTACTGTCTCTTTCTCACTTTGACACAGGATGGAGAAATGGTCTGGCTTTGGCATGGCTGGAATGAGGCCTACATTTACAGAGGTAACAGCTGTATCACTTGCCCCATTTACCTCAGGTAGGTTGTCTGTGAGGGAAAGTGGCCCTCAAAGTTGCACACCCCTGTCTCAAAGCTATATTTTACCAGGGTAGCGGAGACAGTATTCAGCCTCTTCTAACAAATAAATAATAACTTGTAATATATATACCATGCCCATCTGTCTGGGTTGCCCTCTGTTGGCTTGAGGAGTATTGTACAAGGATGCTGGAAGAAGGAATAATGTGTTGTTAATGACATGTTGGTGTTGCCTTCTCTTTAAGCAGGCCAAGATGGTGCACATCTTTTAAAGGAAGAGGGAATGATTGACCCAAGCTGAATAGGTGTTTGAATCTGTTCTCCCAGGTTGTAATGCAACACTGAAGGGATGACCTTTAATCAGGTCCTGGATTTAGCCTATTTTTAACTTGCTGAACTTCAAGGTTCACCCCTGAGAAGTGGGTGGTGCCCATCTCTAAAGGGTTAAAGTAAGTGTGATTATCTCACCGCTGATTAAATCAATGACCTATCAATGAGGATTTGAGATTGTGAGTCTGGATCAGAGATGATGTCAATAGGCCAGGGGCACTATACAGGCACTGTAACCTTCCAACAGTTTGACTTCACCCCCAAAGGCACACCCCTCCATTGTCTCCGAAGACAGACGGATGCTAATATATATTACAGATAGGGAGACTTTGGACCCTCCGACTCTGGGGGATTTCCCCCCAATTCAAAATAAATTGAATACAGCAATTATTAAGAGATATGCCTCATCAAAGGCAATGGGATTTACTTTGCTGCCGTTTTGCTGCAGGAGATTAACACAGCTACCCATGAGTAGACATGCATTGGATTGCACTGACAATTAACCTTACAAGCAGCTTTCAAATATTATGCTCCAATGCACGTCCACTCATAAATAACTCCAACTTGAGGTCACAGCCACACCATGTGTTTAAAGCACTATTGTGCCACTTTAATGACCCATAGTTTCCCCCCTAAGGAATTCTGGGAAGTGTAGTTTGTTAAGGGTGCTGAGAATTGTTAGGAGATCCCCATTCCCCTCAGAAAGTTAAAAATCCCAGAATGGTTTAATAACCAATCCCTCTTCCCAGGGAACCTGGGGAATTGTAGCTGATTGTAGCTCTCAGTACCCTAAACAAACTACAGTTCCCAGGATTCTCTGGGGGAAGCCATGACTGTAAAAAGTGCTACAAGAGTACTTTAAATGCACATGGCACAGTTGTGGCCCGATTTCAGCTAGTGAGGAGGAGATACCTGATATGTTTTAATTTGCTGGGAATTGTCAGAGCAAATAACTGAAAGTCACACTTTTCACATACTGTGTGTAACAGCAGTGGGCACTTTCCTAAATCCTTGTCTCCAGCATAATCCTATTGTTGCAAGGCCCAATAAGGCATTCTGGGCCAGCACACATTACCTACACTTGCCAATCCTGTCAGCCACCCATCAGCAGCTCCTTTGCAAATCCTGCTACTGATTTCATTGGGTTCCCAGAGGGAGCTCTTTGCAGTGAATGTAAAAAAAATAAAATCTCCTGGCATCAGTAAAATTTGAATCAGCCCCAAAGTATAATTAACAACAGAGCTGTAACTCTGAGGGGTGGAAGGGATGTCGTAACTCCTGTTCATAACATTTGCGCAACCAAGCAACTTTGGAGGCACGGCACATGTAAATAAATGTGGATCACACTCAGTTTCCTGAAGACTTGAAGAGTTGATGAGCTTTTTTTCATGGTAAAAGTATAGCTCTGAGATTTTCAGTAAATTTGCACACGTTACAGTATATTGATCTTGTGAACAACAACCATCCTGGGAAAGATCAGTTGGTAGAGCATGAGACTCCATCTCTGGGTCATGGGTTTGAGCCCCATTTTGGGCAAAAGATTCCTGTATTGCAGAGGGTCGGACTAGGTGACCCTCGTAGTCCCTTCCAATTCTACAATTCCATGATTCTTAGAACGACAAAAAAGATGCAAGCTACAACACTACTGTTGTTTTTGTCCATGGAGTTTTCTTGGCAGGGATGCTGGAGTGGCTTGCCGGTTCCTGCTCCAGCTGGATCACGTTTAGTCAAAACTCTCCACTATGACCTGTCCGTCTTGGGTGGCCTTGCACGGCATAGCTCATAGCTTCTCTTAATTACGTATTTTTCGCCCTATAGGACGCAATTCTCCCCTCCAAAAATGAAGGGGAAATGTGTATGCGTCCTATGGGGCGAATGCAGGCTTTCACTGATGCCTGGAGAGCGAGAGGGGTCGGTGTGCACCGACCCCTCTCGCTCTCCAGGCTTCAGGAAGCTATCCGCAAGCCTGGAGAGCCCGGCGGGAGTTCTCGCGGGGCTCTCCAGGCTTATGGATAGCAGCCTGCAACCCGACGCCTGGGGCGCGCTGAGCAGCACGCCCCGGGCTTCGGGAAGATATCCGCAAGCCTGGTGAGCCTGGCAGGAGTTCCTGCCGGGCTCCCAAGGCTTGCGGATAGCAGCCTGTTCTGGGGGCTGGGGTCGGGGGAAGCCCCACGCCTGGGGGAAAATAATTTTTCCCCCTTTATTTCCTCCCCAAAAAACTAGGTGCGCCCTATGGGCCGGTACGCCCTATAGGGCGAAAAATACGGTATTCAAGCCCCTTCGCCATGACAAGGCAGTGATCCATGAAGGAGATGGTTGGACAGTGTTCTCGAAGCTACCAACATGAGTTTGACCAAACTGCGGGAGGCAGTGGAAGACAGGAGTGCCTGGCGTGCTCTGGTCCATGGGGTCACGAAGAATCGGACATGACTAAACGACTAAACAACAACAACAACACAACACTCCCCAAGCTTTTGTGAGCAACGCACTATCATATGTTGGTGTTGTTACGATTATCATTATTCTTACTTAAAACACTTATATCCCACCTTTTGTGATATAGTTCAAGATGGCTAACAAAAAAGTAGTAAAAAGGTAAAGGGACCCCTGACCATTAGGTCCAGTCATGGCCGACTCTGGAGTTGCGGCACTCTAAAATACCATAAAAAGCAACGGACCATAAAGAATAAGAAGCCAGCATTTTTTAATTAAAAAACCAGCTTAAACATAGCAATAATAAAAACATTTGAGAGCAGAATAATCGCAGTTCAGTTGTGGGAAGCCTCAGCAATAAATTCTGGCCTCTAAAATGGAGGTGGAGAAACTTGCAGCCTTCCAGATGTTGTTAGACTCCAGCTCCCATAATAGAAGAGTTTGGATTTGATATCCCACTTTATCACTACCCGAAGGGTAGTGGCTAACATTCTCCTTTCCCTTCCTCCCCCACAACAAACACTCTGTGAGGTGAGTGGGGCTGAGAGTCTTCAAAGAAGTGTGACTAGCCCAAGGTCACCCAGCAGCTGCATGTGGAGGAGCGGAGATGCGAACCCGGTTCCTCAGATTACGAGACTACCACTCTTAATCACTACACCATACTGGCTCTCCTAACCTCTGGCCATACTGGAGGGGGAATGATGGGAGACACTCTTGCTCTGGAAGCCAGGGGCCAGAGAAAGCCAACATGGTGCCCTCCATGTTGTAGAACATCTGCTCTGCATGCAGAAAGTTCAATCCCTGGCACCTTCAGAGAGACACCTGCCTGAAACCCTGGAGAGCTGTTGCCAGCGTAGACAATACTGAGCTAGATGGACCAATGATCTGATCCAGAATAAGGCAACTTCCTGTGTTCCTAACTCCAACTTCCTTTAACCCCCAAAAACATTGCCTATGGTCAGAGATGCTAAGAGTTACAGTTCAACACCTGAAGAGCATCATCTTGGCTACCTCTGTCTTGCTGCTGTAGTGCAAGGCCAGTAGGAGGAGAATGAAAGGAGCCTCCCTAAGGAGTTGCAAAGCTTGCATGTGGAGGGACACCAAAGCTCCAGCATTTCTTTCAAGAATATGGACAGGAGGACACTGCGGATGGTGTCAAGTTATAATATGCAGGCAGGCTCATATGGGAGAAGGTGGTCCGAACAGCACTTTAAATAATGCCTAGAAACAAAGAGAGAGCCCGATTGTTTGTTTATTGAAATTGCTCTTCACCCATTGATGGTCCCAGAGAAGTTTATAAAATGTTGAATAAAATTATAAAACCTACAGCAAAACAACTACAGTCGTTATAAAACAACAAATCATTATAAACAACAAGTGCAGCAGGAAATCCATAGCAACTTTGGCAGTGCTTTTTTTCCTTAAAAAATGTTTAGGGGGTACTCTCATTTTCCTACTCATATTGAAATACTGCCCCTCAATGAGGCCAAACCTAGATTCACAAAATGTTTAGGGATGTGCATACCCCTGCGGCCCCCCAGAAAAAAAGGACTGAACTTCGGACAATTTAATCAAACATCACCAAAGGCCTGAAAGAACAGATATGTCTTAACTTGGCCCTGGAAGTCTAGTGATGTAGTGATCACCTGCTAATTTATATCTTCTTTTTCCTCCAAGGAGATCACAGTTGTGCAAGCTTAGCACAAGTGGACTACAGTTTTATTCCCCATTCTTTTTGTTACTGGGATTAGTCCAAGGTTGATTGGATTACAGGTGGTCAATTCACTTCACGGCACATGATTCTGCTGAGGCTAAAGTCATCACCAAACAGGTTTCTTTACAATGAAGTTATCTCCATCCCTACCCAAAATTTCCTTAATCACCTGATCAAGGTGAGCAGGTCACCTGAGCTTCTTGCTTGCACAAGATTACATCCCACATATACATGCACACACCTGTAGGCATCCCCAAATGCTAAATTTACCCACTGAATGTCACGTTGTGTCTTATTCACATTTAAGGACTAGCCTCCAGCTTTGGTGTTACAGCGATATATCAAAAGGGTATACATCTTCCTTGCCAAGCTAAATTAGAGCCCTCCTCCAACACCCTCTCCCTCCTATAAATATCTGCACTTAGGTTTAAACAGCTCAGAGCAAGCCAACAAACTTTAGCCTTTGAGTCAACAGTTATCTCATTTTACGACCACTTGTCATTGTCCGCCCAGTGTGTACCTCCTTTAACTGCAGCTAATTGTATTCATTTCTGGGACACTTTAGCACAATAGAAGCTACCATCCCGATGACATTGCCTTCTTCTTCCTTATCAGCGGCTACTAGCCATGACGGCTACGTTCTCCCTCATGCCTCTGAATACCCGTTGCTGGGAATCGCAGGTGGGCAGAATTCTGTCGCAACCATGTCTGACTTGCAGGCTTCCCAAGGGCATCTGGTCGGCCACTGTTGCTGGAACTGAATGCTGGACTGGATGGGCAACTCCAGACTGGATTATTGCAATGCACTCTACGTGGGAGAGCTCTTGAAGATGACTCAGAAACTTCAACTGGTCCAGAACTCGGCAGCCAGATTATTGGCTGGGGTTCCCCATAGAACGTATATGATACAATCCATTTTAAAACAGCTGCACTGGTTGTCAGTTTTCAGGACCAATTCAAGGTGTTTCGAGCCCTAAACAACTTGGGGTCTAACTATTGGAAAGACAGTCTCCTTTCATACAGACCTATTGAGTGTTAAGATCAACAGAAGGGGCTCCTCTTGGTGGTTCCACTACTTTCAGAGGTTCAGGTGTGTGTGTGAGAGAGACACCCAGTCATTATCTGTGGCAGTCCCCAGGTTGTGGAATTCCCTCCCCACCGAAATGCAGTTGGCATTTTCCTTGCAGCTCTTTCAATGTATACTGAAGATCCAGCTCTTTACCCTGGCTTTTGACCCTTGAGATACACTTGTCTGTATTTTAGGACCCTCTCTAGTTGTGATTGGAATTTGCTTTAATCTGCTTTTAATACTGTGTTTTCTGTTGCTGTAACCCACCCAGGGACCTTCTTGTGAAGGGCAGTTAATAAATTGAAATAAATAAATCAGAAGACTGCAAGCAGGACTCAAGTGCAACAGGGCTCTCCTTACCTGTGGTTCCCAGCAAATAGTACCCAGAACAGAACACTTGATAATACAGGTTATTTAATTGATTAGTTATTAACTAACTCAGAATTAAGTGGTTGGCTGACCTACATTTTGCGTCTCTTGAATGATTCAGAGGAACTTTTTCTAGATGGGATATAGCAGTGTAATTGGGTTTTGATAAAGCTCTCAGGACTTGTCTGCTAGTAAAATGCATTAGCGTTTTTTTTGTTTTTTGTTTATACTAACTGCTTTCTAAACCAAGCCAGTGAAACCTACGTTAGCTACTGCAATAGAAGCATTTTAATAGGCCCATGCCTTGCTTAAACCACAAAGGGTCACCACAAACTAAGTCATACAAAGCTCACTGAAATTACTAACTGTACACTTTTCAAGCTCCAAGACAAGTCTATTTCTCAAGTAACTGAACCATCTTTTTCATTCCATTGAAAACGTAAAAATGCTCTGTCAGGGGGCTGGGTGCCACTGAGAATGCATTGTCTGGACAAGTTACCCGAACTCTCAAAGGCACAATTGTGATGTTGCAACCAACTTGCAGTTTCCTCTGCAGTCAGTGGGCAGTTCAGGGAAGAGGGTTTCCTGGGAAGAGGGATTCACTGTTAAACCACTCTAAGCATTGTAGCTGTGTGGGGGGAACAGGGCTTTCCTAACAACTCTCAGCACCCTTAGCACACCGCAGTTCCCAGGATTCTTTGAAGGGGGGAGCCATGGCTGTTAAAGTATTATCATAGTACAGTACTTTAAATGCACAGTGTCGATGTGACCATTTACTTGGGCTTTGCTGAAAGGATGCATTTCCTGAGATTCCTGGAGAGGGCACTGGTGTCCTAGTAGAATAAGGAAAAACCACGGAAAGCAACCAAAAGTTTCCTGCTTCATAAATGTCACTGGCACATATTTTACAGTTAGTGCTGAGTTGTTTCAATAAATGAACAGTCCCTTTTGATAGTAAATAAAGGTTGTTCCCAGGTGTCCTGTTTATTGAGCGTTTATCCTGATTTGTTTGCAGGGAGGTGCTGTCTCAAACAGGCAAAAAATTTTGTGCATCTCCCTGTCACTTCCCTTATCACAGAAGGTGCTACCAGACTATTGCTATTTTGCAGGGAAGTTTCACTGGCAAATTTCAGGTTCCAGAGCTAAGATGCTCTCTGAAGTGTGGCTTAGCAATTTATTGATGCAATATAATGTAACCTCCCTGCAGACAAATAAAAATGAGTATTCAAAAGTCAGCCGGTGTCCTATAACACCGCCCCCCCCCCAAGCTTTGGGCACTTCCAAGATGTCACCATTTTCAGCTGAATTCGATCACACTGACTTGCTGTCTCAGGTTGCACAATTATAGTTGATTGGGAGGTCTTGTGCAACAAAGCTGTTTCTCCCTAAATATCAAACCCTTTTAAAGTAAGAAAAATGTACATTTGAAAGTGTGAACTAGCACTTGCACTGGGGTAACATCATCTAACCTCGCTGCAAAAATAAATAAATCTGAATTGAAACTTATCAAATTGCCAACTTCAAGGCATCTCCTTGAAAACTAATCAGAACAGTTGCTCAATAAGCAGGTTTTCTGGAGCCCCTTTGTGCAAAAAAATCAGAAGGCATGCTCTGAAAGCAGGTTAATTAGAAGCAACCAGAACCCTGAGGGCGTGGGGGGGGGGGGAGGCCGGTTGTTTGTTGCGCAAAAGCACTAAATAAACTTTAAGTGAACAACCTGAATTTGCCTGTATGTGAATCCCACCCTAAAATAACCAGAGGCTGTGAAGTCCAAAGTCAAACGTTCCAGCCAAACCGAGACCCTCACTATTTGTCTTGATCAGAAGCTGGCAGTATAGAAGTTCCTCCTGGGAATTGTGTGCAGCTGTGCGCAGAGATTTTATATACAGTACTGGGCAAAAAGTGGTGCGTTATTTTGGAGGGCGTGGTGCCAGAAAAGGAAACCGCATTTTCTTTGCACCCCGTTTCTCTCCTGCTCTGTCCTGGCTTAAAGTGCTGTCCTGATCTACCCACGTAGCTACACGGCTCTTGAGAGTTGTCGGTGGAAGGGAAAGGCAACCTCTGGATCGGGGAAGAGGGGACAGGCCGAAGGAGCCAGGCCATAGCTCTCGCCTCCCCAGCTCAGGCAAGAGCCTCTCTGCACAGGCTCTGGAATGCGGACGGAGCGAAGGGGAAGGCAGGTGGCAAGCGGCAGGCGCGTGCGGGCCTGCCCGGAACTGGAAGCCGGGAACACGTGGCTCCAAATCACTGCAAGGGAACGCGCGGAGCGGGCGCGGACGCCCATAGCCAGAAGCAGGCAGCGCTGGATGAAAAAAACCACACGGGGGTGATTGGGAAAGTGAGGAGGGGAATCTACGCACACACCCCCGGACGGATCTCCCTCAGTGAATATGGTTGCCAAGCAAGTCTGCGGACGATGCGCGTTTCTCAAATCTCCCCGTCTTCACCCTCATTGCCCTTGGTTTGGTTTAGGCGAAGTGGGAAAGGCAGTTGCAATTTGCACGCCTCTCTCCAGGGGCGCCACCGCTTTGCTCCTTGTAATCCCCAGAGGCTGTCGGAATATTCTGAGTATTCCACTACCAGGATATAGGGTGGATTGGAGTTCTGTGTCCTCTCTTAGGGCATCCCCCCGGCCCCCATCACACCCAAGGGAGGAAAAACTGCAAACTGTTGACGCACAGCCCCTGGGTAGGGTTAGCACATGCAGCGCCCTAACAGCTGCATCCCAGCCGCGCCTACTCAGAAGTAAGTTCTCTTAAGTTCCGTGGGCTTCCGGCTAAAAGCGCCGTTAGATTGGATGTTCTTCGGAATAAACGTGTTTGGCCAATGCTGCAAATACTGGTACGCTTATTACTTAACTATAGGTCTCAGTGAAATCAGTGGCGTTTATTCCTTCCCCCCGCAAAAGCAACCCCGACGGCCATGAAAGCTTGCGCCACACCGGCCTATCTTGTCACCCCCACAATTCCCCGGGTGTCTCTTTTCTTCCCTCGCTTTCATGAGCCAAACCCACATCTTGGCTGGATCAGCCCCCTTTTGCCAGCTTCTCTCCGCCTCAAGCGTCCCGCTGCTCCGACGGACCCCGATCCTAGCCAGTGCGCTTCGTTCGGGGAGCACCTGCTAGAAAGAGCCGAGCCTCCGGACCCCTCCCTGCCTCTGCCCATTGGCTGCCAAGTGACACCGGGGGGCGGATCCGCCTCGCCCCCTGCCGCCCTGCCCATATTTAGCCGGTGGCGCTGGCGCTTTGGCCGCTTAGCTCGCAGCACGCCGACTGGTCGCGTCGAGGTTTAGTTTCATTTGCAGTCTCCCTTTAGAAACGCACCGAGGGCATCGCCACTCCCGACCTCCGCAGTGCTTGGATTGGAGCCGCCTCGGCGCCGCCAGACTCCCCAGCAAGATGCCGCGCTCTTTCCTGGTGAAGAAGCATTTCTCGGCCAGCAAGAAGCCCAATTACAGCGAACTGGAAAGCCAGACTGGTAGGCTCGCTGCACCGGGTGGGGAAGGGATGGACCAGAAGGAGGAGGGATGGCGGCGCTGAGCCGGTTTGGGGGGGACGGGGGGGACTGCCAGGCGCAATTTGGTGCGCCCAGGGCGGGCGAGCGCACGTGGGCGCACGGAGAGGGCGTGAGCCTCGGGTCATCCGTGCGCTCGGTGGGTTCCCCGGTTGCTTGAGGGTTAAGCATGGATGGGTCGATCGTTAAAACTTAAGCGGTATATCCTGTTGGGGGCAGATGCGCGCCCGCGACGCAGCGCTGAAGCCGCTGCTATGGCAGGGAGCTGTTAACTGGTCTTTCGGCTCTTTCAAGTCTCCAAGGTTTGGCGGCAACTTTCTGCAGTTGGCTGGGAGTCAGTCCCGTTGGACACGGTGTGGAGACTTGTTTAGAACAGCACGGTTAAGTTCTAGACCGGGGAGGGAGGACCTGCTGGACTACAGCTCCCATCGCCCCTGAGTATAAAGTTATGGTGGCTGGGGTTGATGGGAGATGGAGTCTCAACAACCACTGGAGGCCACAGCTGCCCTAGCCCTGGTGCCAACCTAGTGATGCTGGTGCTCCCTAGGTGACTTGAGAGTTTATTGCTTGCTTCTGATTCATGCTGTGGGAGTAACCTAGTTGTGATGCTGTCATATACTTTGAAGAAAGTTGGTTTTGTTTTCCAAGCACTGGAAAACAGGTGGCGCTGGGAGAGCTAAGCCACCAAATAGCTCAATTGGCTAGAGCGTGGTGCTCATAGCGGCAATGTTACAGGTTCGATCCTGGTGTGGGATAGCTGCATATTCCTGCATTGCCAGGACTAGTAGACGATCCTCAGGGTCCCTTCCAACTCTACAGTTCTGATTCATGGAGGGTGGGGAATGTTGTGGATAAGGAAGGATCCAGCACCTGCCTAAGTTTTCTCCAGTGCTGCATGCTCACTTTATAACCATTGGCTTTTTAAAAAAATATCTTTGCAGTGATCGTCTCCCCGTGTTTTTATGAGAAGTACCCCATCTCAGTCATCCCCCAGCCTGATCTGCTGAGTGCTGGTTCCTACTACCCTCCACTTGTATGGGACACAGGGCTGCTCTCCAATTTCTTCACCTCTGAGCCGGAGTACAAGAAAAGTGCCACTTCTCCACCCAGCCCTGGCTCCAAACCTCTGGACCTGACCTCCAGCGAAGAGGAGGATGGCAAGACGACCTCTGACCCGCCCAGCCCAGCTTCTTCTGCCACCGAAGCGGAGAAATTCCACTGCAGCCAATGCAACAAGTCCTACTCCACCTTTGCAGGCCTTTCCAAGCACAGACAATTGCACTGCGACTCCCAAGCCAGGAAATCTTTCAGCTGCAAAAACTGTGAGAAGGAGTACGTGAGCCTGGGAGCTCTCAAGATGCACATCCGAAGCCATACCCTGCCCTGCGTGTGTAAAATTTGCGGCAAAGCCTTCTCCAGGCCTTGGCTCCTGCAGGGCCACATCAGAACGCACACTGGTAAAGCCATTCTTCTGTTTGTTTCTGGTCACTCTTATCTCTTCTCTCACCCCAGCCCCCTCCTCCTCCTCTCCCCATTGCTTCCAACCTGATTCAAGTCAACACTGCATGCAGTTTATCTAGGAGATAAGGGATTCTCTCTCTCTCTCTCTCTGAAAAAAAATTACTTGCTAACCAACATTTCTGAGCAAAATCCACCTGCAATCCCTCCCAAATTCAGTTCCCTATTTGCAAACAATGCATGGGAGCAGATTTGCACATTGGGGGATGTGCTTCTGTTTGTGGCAGATCGTTGGTTGCTTTTATTCCAACTCCACACAGTGAAGCAATTATCTGATTAGTCCAGCATGTACCCCAATCCCTCCTCCCTTTCCTTCTCTTTCCATGTGGCTCATCCTGGCACAGTGCAGTGTGCACTGTGCTCTGGGCCCGTGGCAGTGAGGAAGTGATCCATATCACGTTACTGCGCCCGCAAACTTGGCATGCACACCCACCCTGTCAGCTCAGCAGGCTGCTCAGTCATGTGAACTGTCCTTGAGTCACTCTTGCACAAAGGGGCACTCTGACTGGAAAGGGCTTTGCACCAGAGAGCCTCGCAGTCCAACGCTGCAGGCATGTGTAATGTCAACACAGAGGCTGGGGATGGGCTCTAATGAAATACTCTCCTTGGGGGTTTAAGCAGCAGGCATTTCCTTCCTCACCCCCACCTTCTCTATAGCTCCCTGTATTCCAAGGATGAGCGAGGTGTTGCTCAGGGGTGTTGTGGAGGGGAGAATAGTGCTTTTAATTGCTTCATTTGAACACAGCTCTCATCCCAGAGGGCTTCCCTCTGGCACACAAATCCTCCCCTTCAAGGAGACATAAGCTTGCTTCCCTGCACAAAAGGTGCTGTTGGGATGCATCATTCCAGGCCTTGTTGATTTGCATTGTTCCACTAATGGGTAACTGCTGGAGGAGGCGGGAAGTACCTTGGAAAGAGGAGGGGGGGGGAAGAGAGAGGTGACCTGTCAGCCCAGGCAGGTGCTTTTAATGTAGCCATGCTGCTTTCCCCCCCTGGTGCACCTGTTACTGTATCGCCCCAGGCTGAACACCAGACTCCACAGCTGCCAGGCTGTGGAAGCTCTTTTAGCTTTTAATCCAAGGAGTATCACATTCACAATGCATCTCCCTCCAAGCCGGCCTTTGTGCCTGTTGCCGGGATGGTTTAATTGTTACTTGGTGCTGATTTCACACCCTCTTAGAGGTTCTAAAGATGTTGCCTGAAGGAAGCCAGAAAGACTTAATTGTGCTTTTTTCCAAATTGAGCACGCCTGTTTGTTAGTTCCAAAAGAACTTCTCTGACAGGAATTCATCCTGTTTAGTCTTTTCAGCATGGAAGAGTTTGAAGCGGATGGTGCAGGGCCTGGGGGGGGGGGCGGGTGGAGGGAAGGAAGGAGTGGAGAGCAGGGAAGCCGCTCTGGGAAGGATATAGCTATACTTGGATCTGTGAAGCTTCCAGGGCAGCCAGACTGATGCAATTAGTGCTTTGCGTTTTGCGCAGCTCACAGTGAGCCAACAGATGAGATAATTTGCATGTTGCACGATGCAGAATTATTATTATTTTTTTGGCTTGTCAAACGAGACTTCTGAATGACTTACCTGCTGGAGCAAATGCCCACTGCTCTGCATGTTTACTCAAAGTTAAGTCTTACTATGGTTTATAGAGCTTACTTCCTGGATCAATTTGTAAATTTACTGAAACTGAAGTCCCATCCATGGTCAAAATTTAGCCGATGGGAGAGAGAACCATTTGTCCCCTTGAAGTCAGGAGCTGAAAAGTGCTTATCTTCCAATGAAGCTCTCCTCCTAACACCTGATCTTGAAGCCATTTAAATGGAAATAAATTCCACCGAAATTGGTAGGAACTAATTTCCATCTGCTTCAAGCTGCTTACAAATGGGTTGACTCTTTCTTACCTGTTTGATCCTGGGTACCTCATTTAAATATACATTAGCTTGGCTTCCTGTTACCTGTTTCTTCAAACCATTAAACTTGCAGGTGCATGGGCCAGTCTGGGAACTTTGGGTTTAACATTCCCTTCTACTTTTGTCTCCATAGGCGAGAAACCGTTTTCCTGCACACACTGCAACAGGGCCTTTGCTGACCGCTCCAACCTCCGCGCCCACCTGCAGACTCACTCTGATGTCAAGAAGTACCAGTGCAAAACCTGCTCCCGGACTTTCTCCAGAATGTCACTTCTCCACAAACATGAAGAAACGGGCTGCACTGGGGCGCGCTGAGAGATCTTCCCTCTTGCATCTTAGGAAAAGAAGAAGAAAAATACTACAGACTCTCCTCCATGCCAATGCATATATTGTAACTAGCGCCTCTAGGAATATAGTTTTTCCCATTTGAGTTCAGCTGCCAGGGCAAAACTTGTCTTCTACCTGCTTCAGGCCTCGCAGTGACATTCAGAATATTTCTCCCTCTCCCTTTGATTTTAAAAGTCTGGTTCCGCACTCCCTGGCCACGGCAGAATGCTTCTTGGTTTAGGCAGAGTGAGGCTGGTTTGCAAAAACAACAAGCATTCTGATGTTTTATTAGTGTAAGGACTCTTCAGAAAGTGCTCAGCATCTCCCAGTATTGAGCCTTACACCTAGCTGGCCTGAAGGACCACAGTATTTTTAAAATTTTATTTCTGGGGGTGTTGGGGGAAGAAAAAATAATCTGCTGTTAACTGTTGACCCAGAATTGATATGCCTCTCAAGGAGGACAAAAGCAAAGTGTTCCCAACAACCCCCACTCAATTCTCTCTTGCTCTAAGCGTTGTATATACCCCCCAAACACACCCTCCCAAGAAGGTGTAACTATGCAGTAATACAGTATTGCATTAGCTCCAAGGCAGCTGCTTCCCCCACCAGCACAATGATAATTTGCAATGCCTCAAAGATTAACAATGTCTATAGAAGGCACTGGGTAGCCATTTCAAACAAGACTCCTGTTTACAGAGCAGCTATGCACTCAAGCACCTGTTAATATGACTTCTTTTAACAACTGCTTTTCAAAAGAACTGTGACTAATAGCAGGCACTTGTCAGGCGATACAATAGCAGCCTGTGTAGAGAGGCTGCCCATTGACAGGTGTGTGCCAAAAGAACTATTTATGGTTATTGACAGGTGCCTCCTGAATGCATCTTTCTTTTGTACATTGTTTCCACATCATAAACAACAGGAAGAAAAAAAAGAGAAAAGGGTATGTTTACATTTCAAAGGTACACTGGTATTTATATATTTTTGTGCCACGATTTTATACTGATTCAAAACTTTTTTATATATAATTATATACAATTTATTGATATTCAATAAAATGGTTAATTTATAATCTGGTCTTGTGCTATTACTCTGCTTTCTGGCGACTTGTATTCCAGTGTAAAATCGCATGCTTTAATGCTGTAGAAGTTAGCTGTGGTTAAATCCCTACAAGTCAGTCTTGACTAACCCAAGTCTCTGCTAACTTGTTCTGTTATAAAACTAGGAAGAATTGAATGAAAAAACTCCTATGCGTTTCTCATTCATTTCAGTAAGGCTGGAACAAGAGAACTTGCCAAATACATTGAGCGCCACATTAGTATACAACTTATTCAGGAAAGCCTACCCACTGTGCACTGTTCCTTGATAGCTTACATTAGTGCAATATCTGAAAATGACTAACATTTGAATAGACAAGAGCCATCAAAGGTGGCATTGCATGTCCAGCTCAGGAAAGTGACCATTCCCGGTCTTTGGTTAAATGTCCATCTTATGAAACTCATCTTCGCTAGAACATAGGGAGGGCAGACAGTGGGTGACCTTGGCTTCCCTATATGAAGTCTCGTCCATAGGGTCTTCTTCCAAAGAAATTGATACCCCTGCCCTTTATTAATTGTAGCAATTGTATCCCACCTTTCTTCCAAAGAGCGTAAGGTGCTGTACAAAGTTATCCTCTCTCCATTTTTTCCTCATAACCCTGAAGGGTAGGTGAAGCTGAAAAACAGTGAATGGCCCAAGGTCACCCAATCGAGGATTTTTAGCCTTGCTACCTTGCTTTTTTTCCTTTTGGAGCCAGCTTGCCCCTGGGCTGAAGACAAAAGCTGCCAGGCCTTATATTTCCCCCCCGCCTCCTATAACTTTCATTATGCAATCCCTTTCCCCGATGAGCGTTTTTTGCTGGATATTAGTGCTTTGTCTAGACACTCTGACAATGGGACCTCTGCCATTTCCCTTGGAAAATAATTCACAGCTTTTAGTAGGTTGCTCAAGTGGAAGGATTTCCATGATATCCTGGTGATATTTCTGCATCTTGGAATTGCGCTAGTGGGAAGGATGCTTTGGGAAGTGGGGTATGCAGGTGTGTTGCTTGCTAACAACTCTTGACATAGAATTGTAGAGTTGAAAGGGATCCCTGAGGGTGATCGAGTCCAACCCCCTGCAATGCAGGAATCTTAACTATAAAACCTGAAGCCTGAAGCTTGAATCCATTGGTCTGGATCCTACTCTCCAGAGCAGAAGCTTTCTGGAGCGTCAGGCCTCTATTTTTATAGGCAAGCAGGCCACATAAGCATTCTGAGTTACACCAGCATCACTTCTGCTTAGTGCAGTAAAAGGAAGTGTTAATTTTTGGCTGGATATCCCTCCCTGCAGGGAAAAAAAATAAGAAATTAGTACTTTTGAGGATTGCTTAGCCAGTTCATCAAACGCCAGCTCAGTTGGGAAAAAATACATAACTTGGATTGCATCCTGGAGTTACTTTGGTGAACTTCCATGAGGGCCCCTGTAATTGTGGAGCAGCTACTCAAAACACACCTCTGCGGAGCCTTGTAATTTAATGCAATGAGCTGGACTTCCACTGGCCACTTGCCCACTGACTTAGAAAAAGAAGCTCTGCTTGGCTGGATCATCCTCAAGGTCTGTCTTGTCCAGCATAGTCTTTCCCTGGGAAGCCTGCAAGCGAAGCAATGATGGAGAAATACATGCCTTGTTTGTCTACACCAGGGGTGTCCAACTTCCAAGATCCAACTCCCACTATAAATAACCTGGCAGTGATCTACCCATTGGATTGACCAGAGTTGTTGAGCTTTTTTAGACCAGGATCGACCAGGGACAGCCAGCAATGGACAGGTAGATCGCACTCGACCAGTTGAACATGCCTGGTCTACACCATCTGGCAATCAAAAGAGGTACACTGTCTCTAAAGCTGGGATGAAGAACCTGTGGCTCTCCAGATGTTGTCTGATTCCAGTTCCCATTAGCCCCTTGGTTGGGCCAACGGGCAAGGATGATGGGAGTTGTAGTCCCATAACACCAGGAGAGCCACAACTTCCGCACCCTAGTTATTAAAGGCAGGTGTTCTATTTTTGACTCTCGTGACTTACAGCTGTTGATAGACTTTTCCTCAACGAGTTTCCATAGCAGAGCAAGTCCAGCACAGACTAAACTGGCCACACAATTCAAGGCACAATGTTGGTCTGAGATGTCCCTGCTCCCTGCTGTACCCATTGCTCTTCCAGCCCAGCCCGCAAAGCTCTGGTGCTAATATGCTGATTGAGGAGGAAGTTTTGTATGGAGGAAGCTAAAGGATGATAGGAAAGGAAGCTGGTCTCTCAGAGCCATGGCACTGAGGGCAGAGATGGGAATGCTGTGTCATCTAGGTGTTGATGGGCTTCATCCCATCCCATCAGTCCAGTGTTAGAAACTGAGATATGAAAGCTAGGAGCTAAATGGCACCTTAAACCTATGTTATGGGTGCAACAATGGAATGTCTAGGTGCGCTTTTTTATAACAAGAATACAAAGCTGAAAATGAATGAACTGCAGCTAAAATATTAGGTCCATTTTTCACATGGTCTAGTCCTTCCCCTGCCCACCCCCCTAATATTCTTAAGAGGGTCTCTTCTCCAGTCTTCAGAAAGTGGCTGGAAGTGGGGAGGCAGGAAAAGGTCCTCATTTCCTTCTACTCTGCAGTTTTAATCTGAAATATTAGGCGCAGTACTGCACCCACAGCTCAGAAACTGCTCGTGCTAATGAAATCCCCTATTGCAAAATGCGCCTAGATCAATAGGAGTTTCAGATGCTGCATCAGCCCCAACCAGCTTGGCCAATGGTAGCCAACCAAATCCCTGCAGGAAGAATTTAAGCAGGATGTGTTGGTGTGTTAGCCACCCACCGCTGCTTGCTCCCAGCACCAGGTACTGTCTCTGAACATGCAGGTTACATTAAACTGTCAAGCACAAATGATGAATATGACAGTTTAATGCAGCCTGCATGTTCAGAGACAGCGCCATCACATCAAGCTGCTACTACTACTCAGAATGTCACAAGTCGGGGATAGAGAACCTATGAACCACAATTCATCACCATAACAACAACAACAACAACAACAACAACAATTAATAAAAATATTTTCTAGAACTTCCTTAAATATTTAAAAACGTGAAGCTGTACAGAAATTGGAACTGGCCAAGCAATGTATGCTAAAGTGAAGAAAAGGTTTAAGAAATGGATTAGCTGCAGATGGAAACATCTACCGAAACTTTCCCAGTCTGAGGGCCACTTTTGCTTCTGGACTCCCTTCCTGGGCCACATGCCGAGGGTGGGCAGGGCACTGAATGCAAATGTTTTCCTTTGCACAGTGTGCTGGGTTCTGCAAACACTCTCATGATCCTCTCTATTCTCGCTCCAAACAAGCAAGAGGCACTATCAGATTCCAGCCAGCCATAAGCAATTGGGTTGCAAATTGGACCAGTGAGGGGTGTGGTCTGGGGAGGGTTCTGCACAGATCTAGGGTGTCATCATATTATCAAATCAAAGAACTGTGGAGTGGGAAGGGATCCTCAAGGTCATCTAGTCCAATCCCCTGAGATGCAGGAGTCTCAGCTAAAGATGGCCCTCCAACCTTTGCTTACAAACCTCCAAGGGAGGAGAGTCCACCAGCTCCCAAGAGAGACCATTTCACTGTCGAACAGCTTTTAGCATCAGAAAGTTCTTCCTGATGTTTAGTCGGAATCTCCATTCCTGTAATTTGAATCCATTGGTTTGAGTCCTACTCTCCAGAGCAGGAGAAAAAAGGTTTGCTGCTCCACACTCCTTATGTCAACCCTTAAGATATTTGAAGATAGCTACCATATCTCTAAGGGACGCGGGTGCGCTGTGGGTTAAACCACAGAGCCTAGGACTTGCCGATCAGAAGGTCGGCGGTTCGAATCCCTGCGACAGGGTGAGCTCCCGTTGCTTGGTCCCTGCTCCTGACAACCTAGCAGTTCGAAAGCACGTCAAAGTGCAAGTAGATAAATAGGTACCGCTCCAGCAGGAAGGTAAACGCGTTTCCGTGTGCTGCTCTGGTTCACCAGAAGCAGCTTAGTCATGCTGGCCACATGACCCGGAAGCTGTACGCTGGCTCCCTTGGCCAATAAAGCGAGATGAGCACCGCAACCCCAGAGTCGGCCACAACTGGACCTAATGGTCAGGGGTCCCTTTACCTTTACCTATCTCCTTTCAGTCTCCTCTTTCCAGGTTAAACATACTTAATTCCCTCAACTGTTCCTGATAAGGCTTGGTTTCCAGACCCTTGGTAGCCTTCCTCTGCACATATTCCAGCTTGTCAATATCCTTCTTAAATTGTAATGCCCAGAATTGGACACAGTATTCCAGGTGTGGTCTGACCAAAGCAGAATAGAGTGGTCCTATTACTTCCCAAGATGTTCAGTTTTTATGCTTGACCCATCCCAGGATGAATAAGCACAATATAACGAAATTTTAAAATGGATATGTTACTTGCTTTGGGGACATACACCAATGAATGCTGGCAGTCACATTTTGGTGACAATATTCACCAGGACAATATTCCCCACACAGATATACAATTTTCAGTCACTCTTCACAGGGAACTCTGGGAACTGTAGTTCTGTGAAGGGAACAGAGGCCTCCTAACAACTCCCAGCACCCTGAACAAACTACAGCTCCCAGGACTCTTCAGGGAGAAGCCATGAGTGTTTATAGTGTGGTTTCATAATGCTTTAAATGCATGGTGTGAATATGGCCATCATTAGATCTCAAGTTAGACAGACAAGCAATCAGGCTTGCCAAAACACAGCATTTTATGCTCCTATGTTAATAGGACATACGTTTGGAAATCCATAGTTTTGAAAAAACAGAATAATTAGCAAAAGGTTTCTTTTCTTCTTCTTCTTTGTATATTAGAATAAGGTGGGGATTTTTTGTTCTTGAGGGTGAGAAAAAACCCTTCTTGTTGTGCTCAGGAATAAAAGAAATAACGAGAGAGGAAAGCTTGCTGTTTTTTCCCTGCGGAGGAGTTTAATTAGAGATTTGCTGAGCAGCATTTCTCT